TCAGGTGGTAGATCGTATATCCTATTCAACATTTTATAAAAACTGGGTTCATGAACGAAACGCAAGAGACAACAAGCGCAATGCAATGAATCTTCACATAAAGACATGGCCACTTCTCGCGGAGGTAGGTCCATTGTGTTAGGAAGACCAGAATCATAAGGGGAATCAGTAGATGATCTTGGGGAATCGAAAGTGGGTGGTATTTGCGCACGTGGTGGTTTGGGAAGCAAGTTGGGAGATCCGAGTAAACTACCAAATTGTTCACGCAGACGTCTAATGAAGACAGTTCCTGAGGAACCACCATGAAAGTCCCAGTTTCCACGTTCGTCAAGATCGAGTTGCCCGGTGGATTCTATCATTGATCGCAACTGCGCGTCTTCTTCTGACAACGGTGGCTGTTGTGGGGTCGCGCTTGGCATGGAGCTCGTAGTCGAAGGGGTTGTTGGCGCAACCTGTCGGTGCAGTAATGATGCAGCATCTATGTTTGGATCGTTCAGATTTATGTTTGGGAGATAAGCTTTAATAATGCTTTCTGCTCGTTGTAGACGAAGCTCCAACGATTCGACATACTGCGGCGCTGGGTTCCTTCTTCTATTTGAGGGCTGATCATATGTACAATCTGTCATGGCACATTGGTCAACGATGGATGTCAAAATACGTAAATCACAAACAGTATCATACCATAACTATATACAGTGCAATGAGTACAAGGTTGCTTTCCATCACACTTTATTTTCTTCCTCCTACATTCATCACAAGCCCTTGTAACTCGTCTCCTCTTTTGCAAGGGCGCCGGACGTGGTTGCGATGAAGGCGCAGGCCATTCCTCTGCTGGCTCCAGGTCGGGAGATGATTGATTCGGACTGAGAGGAGTTTCTTGACTGGGTTGAGCTGGAACTGGTTGCGATTGCGGCTGTTTGTCGGTTGATGTGCCTGACATCTTTGAAAAAAATTATAAGTAAGAAAATTGAAAAAGACTTCTTGAGTCGCTATCTCAATGAGAGAAAGGAAAAGATGAATCAATTGTAACTTTCTATTATTCTGCTACGATTAATGGAATCACAAATCGGACTGGCCGAATGAGGTATTGGTAAGGAAGGTAGTGCTCGGGCAATTGACCCCTCTTATTCTGATGGAATAGTCTTGACGTTGACGCCCTCGGATATAAGGAAAAACTGGGCTGAAGCAGAAGAGTCAATAGGAAAAGGGTAAGGCAAGGTAGTAGCAATTGACAAGAAATGTTCCGCTTGGCAGCGCAAAAGATGCAGATATTGAGGTCTTGGGAGGTATGACAACGTATGGATGTGTGTATGGATGTATGGATGCGAGTAGTGCGGATGGATGTATGTGTATATGTATGTATGTAGGTAGGTAGGTATGTAGGTATGTAAGTATGTATGTAGGTAGGTATGGTATGGTATGGTATGAAAGTAAGAAAGTAATTAAGAGAGAGCGCGAGAGGTCGATCGTTTCTTCTAGTGACTCGATGGAATTCTATTATGCATAAATTGCATGAAGTACCCAGTCTGCTGAATAATAGCATACCATTGGGGGAAAAAAGGGACCTTTCTTCTTCCTCTTCCTGTTATTATTACATACATATAGGGAAAAGGTATGCGGACGTAAAGAAAATAATCGATGGAGTAATTGGCATTGTGCCATGGTTAAACCGTTACTGTAATGAGATAACGACTAATAAAGAAAGGATGATTTCACCCAAATATGCAAGCAAGCAAGCAAGGCGGATCTTGCGGACATAAAAAAGATGGCATGGGATTGGATCGAATTAATTGATTAATGGGGTATCCCGAGCTCCTCTCTCTTTTGGGTCTTTTTTTTTTGGCTTTGAAATGGATTGGAAATATTGAAATAATTGGGTCCCTTCAAATGGTACTCGAGTGGTAGGGACCCGTGAAGTGAGTGAAGGGAAAGAAAGGTTGGTAGGATGAAGAAGTGAAGAAGGAAAAAGAAAGAAGGAAAAGAAAGAAGAAGTTATTAAAGTGAGGTATTACCTTTGTAGGTTACAACTTGACCACGGTAGGTGAGTGGTGGGTAGGTGGGTAGGTAGTAGTAGGTAGTAGGTGTAAGTAGTATGTAGTAGGTAGACATTTCCCCCCTTTGCTCTTCGAGTCCCTCTTGGGTAACAATGTATGTTGTCTTCTCTCCAATTGAAGTTCATTCATTGAAAGAACTTGATTCATTCACCTCCCTACCTAGGTATTCATGGATTGATGGATGGATGGATTGATCGATTGATTGATTGAGTGCTCGCTCGCTCGCTTGCTTGCCTGCTTGATTGATGTGATAATATTTCAATAAAATAATCTATTCTGTACGGTAAGTACGAAGCCAATGCAGTAAGAGTTCATGATCGGCACGCACTCTTTCTCAATGGGTGAAGGTGCGAAAAGCTTAAAGGTGCAGAATAGTGGGACGAAATAGAAAGATTTAAGAAAACGCCAGAACATCATTGCCAAGCCACTTGGAATCATTCGATAAGAGGTCCGCCGCCGAGCGGGATCACTATCCATTAAGTAATCAGGGGCAGGGATCGTGAAGGGATGAATTCCGTATTCGCTCGATCAACCCAAGTTGGGTCACACCGTCACCGGACTATACCGCATACTTGTTAGGAGTCAAATTATGAATGTCGGATAGTCGGGACCGGTAGATGCGAGGCGTGAGGAGAGTAGAGCATCATGTAAAATGGACGGGAGGAAGAGAGAGAGAGAGAGACCGTGAATCCTTTGCGGTCTGAGGTATTTATAACGTTTGCCCTTTGTACGTGTGGGCGTGTCCTGTCCTGTGTCTACTCCGTATCTCCCTCCCTAGCTTTTCCAGCCTTGTGAGTTCAAGGATGTTCCATTTACTCCGTACTATCTGATGAGGGGTCCGAGGAGAAATGACAGTGATATCAATTACAAAGTCTTGGCAAGGCGGAAGCTAGCGAGGATGCACATCTTGAATGACTCAAATTATTCAATCCGGTTAATTGTCCTTATTCGCACGCCAGGGACGATATGGATGGACGAGATAAGTTGCACAATAAGGAATGAGGATTTTATACAAGCGCGAGGTAGATACTAGGTAGTCCATGTTTTCAGTCGAAGATAATAATACAATAATACTCACCTCGTTTGAACATTAGGTATAGTTTGAATGTAACCATCAATCCTTTGCATACTCATACTAGGTATTCCACTCCAATGTAGACATCCCAATATCCATGGATCCATGGACATACTACTATACTAGCCACTGGAAAATCCATTTTGGTGCGTGGGCTACTTTGTGAATGTGGAGCTTACTACCTATTCTGTACACTTACATTTGGCAGATGACTTTCCTTTATCCCAGATACCTAGGTAGGTAGGACTTTTCGAAATGCTACTTACTAGGTGAGTAGGTAGGTAACCATTCAGATCAAGACATTTATCATTTTCTTTTTTCTTCCTTTTTCTGACATTTACCAATTCCACCCGCGCCACCTTATTAGTAGCTCCACGGTAGCACTTAAGATCATTCTTGTATCCATCTGTACATATCTCTCCTCGGATCTACTTGGAGATGTACCCGGGTAAGGCTGGAGACTCATGGTCCTTTCATTTTTTTATGTCTGTCCTCTCTCCGGACCTACCTCTCACATGCCGTTCATCACATCCGTGGTGTCCTGTTTTGCTCTTGGAAGGCCGACTCGACCCAGGTATCCTTGTCAAGATAATACGGCGCTTTCAGATGACTTGCATCAAGGGGTCATTTCTCATGATCATTTCACTCTTTTCGCCCAACTCCAAATCCTTATCAATCTCATAAATGAATACTTATTCACTCGGTACAGCCAGGTAGTAAGCATTGGGTAGGGAGGGGGTAGATATGCTCACATCATTCATCATGTTCCAAGATACAAATAGATTTGCTTTGCTTTCCCACCATCGAATCCGCATCAGTCAACGCCATCCAACGCCATCCAACGCCAATGGATCCCCCCACGACAAATCAAGCCACAAGCCACAACGCAAGTACTAGGTAGGTATGTACGATGTACGAAGTATGTATCATGAGCCCAGAATTTCTAGATTCTCCTTAGTCCATGCCCGCATAAAAGGCCAATGAGGGGCAAAAATTGGAAAATGGAAAATGGAAAAATTTCAAAGTTGGAAGGAGGGGCATGGCTGCATTTGAGTGCGTCATACCTTAACGTACTCCGTACTCTAGTCTCTGGTACCCTTCTTTTGTCAATTGCATCAACTTTTCCGAATAGCCACACTTCAGAACCACACAAATCTCATATATGATGGCCTTCATTGGCTCCGTGGGCTTCATGACCTTCACATCCATGATATGAGACAATGAGGTTCATGGATTATTATTTTGTGTTTTCGTCTTGGTAAGGCAAGGAAGAGAGAAAGAGAGAAAGAGAGAGAGAGAGACAGAAAGACAGAAAGAAAGACAGAAAAGATGTACATTGTACATACAATACAGTATGTAAGAAAAGATCCATTCAATGCAATGCTTCTTTTATTTGGGTCTGGCTGTCGGAAAACCACAATAAGTGTAAATCTCTTACACATATGCTCATTTTCATTCTCATCAATTGGTCTGTCAGATTTGCTCTCTGGGATTCTTACTTCACTACCCACGCTCTACATACCGGTAGTATAGTATGATGGGTTAGCAAGAAATATACCTTGGTAGTAACTTTACTCTTTCATATGATCGCTACTACTATTTAAACTTAAATGAATCTTTTCCTGTCCTCTTTTCATCTAGCATTTATTCTTTTTTATCCAATCGAGTTGCAAGATTTGTAAAATCTTAGATTGTACCTGAATTACCTACCTTGAATTGTTCTGGAAACGAACAACAAAGGAATCCTTGACAACTTCACAAAGCTCTACTTGAGATACAGATTGCTTGTATCAGTTTGTCGGGTGTTTGGATCCTGTTATCATCATTTACAACATCAATTGATAGATTTGACATAAAACATAACCAGCAAGATGACTTCCATGAAACCAATCTTCTGTGCTACCCACCCCAGAGCTTGCTCTACCGCATTCGAAAGAGTGAGTCCCAATTGATTCCGCAGCTCTCTTGGCCAATTGACTAACATATTTTTAGGTCTTTATGACTCGCGATGATGTCCTTGCCTGCGTTCACGAACCCTTTGGAGATGCATTCTACTTTGGTCCCGAGAGACTTAGCCCGAGATATGAGGATGATGAAGCCGCGCGCCAGGAGAGTGGTTTCGCAGATAGTACATATAAGACAATTTTCGAGAGAATTGAGAAGGAAGGAAAAGAGGTTAGAATTGAATCCGCTTCTACTGTTATCCCGGTCTTTCCTTTATATGGCATTGATCCTGCAGGTTTCTCGGAGCTCTCGAAATTAGTTTGGGCACAAGACAAGTGTCTGACACTATGGACTCTTTTTCTACTATTTGATACCCAAATATTCTCTGCACCAAAATCACCAGAGCTCTAGTCCCATGTTTTGTAATCCACGTCCTCATTGTCGCTCTAAACTATCTCACGGAAGATATACCTTTCATGCGCCCGAATTTATATCCATATCAGCATATGTTTTTATTCTGATGAATCAGCAACTTACGCCAAAATAGGGTAAACGACTATTCATCAAAGATATCATTCACTACCTTGTACCTCCTCAAGGGAAACCAGCATCAATTGCTCCCTCGCTCGGAGGTAAAAGTGTCAAGAAGGGCGTCGGCACTAATGGCGAAACAAATGGGGTAAATGGGGTGTCAAACGGGGAAACCAATGGGGTCAACGGCCACACAAATGGCCATACCAATGGACACACTAACGGCACCACCGCCAAAGCTCCATATCCATACAACACCGTCGCCGAGCCCGGAAATCCCACCGTCGTCCCCGCCGAAATCCTCAAACAATTCCACTTCACCTTCCTCATCCGCCATCCCCGCTCCAGCATCCCCTCCTACTTCCGCTGCACCATTCCTCCCCTAGACAAAGTAACCGGCTTCTACAACTTCATGCCCGAAGAAGCTGGTTACGATGAACTCCGTCGCGTCTTCGATTTCCTACGTTCCAAGGACCAAGTTGGTCCCCACATCGCCAGAACCCCCGAGTCTGAGGCCGAGAATCTGAAAGATGGGGAAGTGAGTATCACGGTTATTGACGCAGATGATCTGTTGGATAATCCAGAGGGTATCATTAAAGCGTATTGTCGAGAGGTGGGCTTGGAATATAATGCCAACATGTTGATTTGGGATACCGAGGAACATCATGAGAAAGCGCGAGAGGCGTTTGAGAAATGGAGGGGCTTTCATGATGATGCGATTAACTCTTCCAGTTTGAAGGCGAGGGAACATGTAAGTTTTTTTTGTCCCTGCTTTACAACTTTTCCCTTCCTTTGGGGGATTGAACTGCATTGAAATCAAAACGCAAATACTAACACGTTACAATTAGAAAAAGAAACCCAAGACCGTAACCCAAGAAAACGAAGAATGGACCGAGAAATACGGCGCGGATGCGGCGAAAATTATTCGGGAAACGGTGGATGCGAATCTTGAAGATTATGAATATTTGAAAAATTTTGCGGTTAAGGTTTAGGGAGGACGTTTTCTTTTTGGGAGGGGAAGGGGGAGGGGGGGAAGATGTATTCTCGACGCTGGAAAGGCGAATGGAAAAACGGAACAATAGACCATGAGGGTGATGAGAGTGGGCGGGTTGGAATTTGAAATGAGATGGGCTGGGATGGGTAGTGGTTAGGAGAGTTTTTAATATATATATGTGAATATATATGTGAATATATATGTGTGTGTGTATGTATGTATGTATGTATATATGTATGTGTGTGTGTGTGTCTGCTTTGATATGGGATGGGATGGGATCGAGTATATATATGAGAATGAAATATGAGACGATAAGGGAGAGAGAGAGAGAGGAGAAAGGAGAGAAAGGAGAGATTTCGCTTGTGTTTATATAAATATATATATCTTTTGCTGTATTTCATGGTTTCATTTGGTTATCGCAGTATGTCAGCATTCTTTTTTTCATAGTGAATACTTGTTTGTATCTTTTTAGTAGGTATTTGGGGGTTTGTATATATGTATATATATATATATATATATATATATGGATACATACCTAGGTATATGTAGATAGATAGATAGCACAATGCGATGCGATGCGGGACGGTGTGATACTATGTGATTTTACAATATATATCTACATCTACATCTCTCTAGCATGTCCCTATCCCTACATCCCAAACACATATATTCTCCTCTTAAAGGATTTTAGGCGCAGGAGTCTCTGTCTCTGTCTCTGTCTCTGCATTTGATTTAGTTCCCAACCCCAATGGTTGAGCTCCCGCTCCCAATGCAGATTCAAGTTCTAATTCCTGCGTCTCAACCGCATCCACCGCACCAGCTTGCTCGCGCGAAAGTTCGTATTCCTGCGCCGAGCCGCCCGTCCTTTCCATCCATGCTAATTTTTCCAACTGTGCCTGTCTTTCCTGCGCCCAATTGTCGGCGGGGGATTGTCTGATTCTTTGGGGGAGCACCTTGGGACCCTTGCCCATTGCGCGGTGTTTCTCCATGAGCGCTATGTGTTTTGCCCATCTCTCTTCTCTCGCTTTCATGATTCGTTCATTCTCCTCTCTGTTTTTCCTCTTCTTTTCTTCGTTGGCTTCCTTTATCGCTGCGCGCTGGGCTTTCCATTCCGCTTGCTTTTCGGTGCTCAGTGCTTGTCTTTTGAGGATGTCTCGGTTATTTCGATCCCAGGGTAGAGTATCGTGGAGAACAGCTTCACCCCAGATATCAGATCCTTCGCCTGCGTAACTTGCGTCTGCGAGATCGCTCCATTTCACTTCTACGACGCCTTCCTTTCCAATTCCTTCAAGACCTATTCTTTCGCTTCCGTATCTGATATCTTTGAGAACAGCCGCCATGTCGGCGACGGTGTTAGCTTTTTGGTCATTTATTTTGCGGGAGCGCAGTTTGGAGGTGAGATGGATTTTTGATTTTTGATAGTCGGACTCGCCCGGTTGGGGCTCGCGTTTGAAGAGGGGGGAGGAGGGGTCCCAGGAGTGTTCGTGCCGTTTGCGGTATTCGCGAAGTTTTTGGAAGGCGCTGAGGCCGGAGGAAGAACAGCCGGGTGGGAAGGTTATTAGGGCCATGGGGTACCAGTGATCTTTGCGGAGGGCGGCAGGTCGGGTCTTTTTGCCATTGTAGGGGAGTTGGTGGAGGGAAGAGGTGTTCTAGTGAGGGGTGAGTGAGGGTTGGGGTGGAGGGGGCGGGGGCGGGGTAAGTATGGGAGGATTTGGGGCATTGAGTATATTGGTAAAGAGTAATTGAAAGGCAGAGAGATAATACGTACATCCATTCCCCTAGTAAGTGAGTAGACGACTTGATTCGTCCGTAAGTGATTATAGACATATATCTGCTCTCCATGTTCCGGACGATTGGGTGGTTGTCTCGCCGTCACCGACTTCGTTGATGCATATCTGACACCCGCTGTCTTACTGACCGAATTGCCGATGCAATTCCGAAGTGATGGAACACTCATGACTATCAAGAATGTGAATTGATTGACTGGAAATGCGGGCGACAGCAATAATTTCGATATCTTGAAAACCAAAATTGTCCTAGCGTCTTTGGCTCCATGGATCAGTTGTTGCCTGATTATATTATGTAATATTGGGCTCCAAAATCAGGCCACTATAAAGAAACTTTTTCGTTGGTGCCCGGGCGGAAACCAGGCGGATGCAAGCGAGCCAACTTTTTTGGTGTGTGGGGTCAAAAAACGTGTGGTTTGATGTTGACGTTTCTAGAAGCTACGAGGTGATCCTAGAAGCTCATAGGATAGTGCGAGTAATTTCGAGATATATCAAGTATTTACTATGAAATAGGTCATCGTATGGGTCTCATCTTTGAAGCTTCCTATATAAATGAGTGTTTTCTTTGTACTCGAGAGATTTCTTTCCTCATCATCAAGAAATAAAGTCGTATTCAATTCGAATCACTCATTGAAATAATTCATTTGCTTTAATAAAAATACTCTCTTACGCTGAAGCTCGGTACTAAACCCCGCAGCATAATAATACCTACAGAACTTATTACTTACGTTTGAAACCATACAACAACGAAAACACACACATACGAACTGAACACAATACCGCAATCATGTCTACATCTGACATGTCCTTTACCACTCGGGCGACGAAGTCCATAGAAGATGCCATGTCCAACGCAGAACAACATGGATCCTCTCAACTTCTCCCCCTCCACCTCGCACTCGCCCTCCTCGACCCCTTACCCGATCTATCGAAAGACCAACAGCAAACTATGAACGCCTCTCATGGTCATGCTTCTCAATCACTATTCCGACAAGTAGTTGAGCGAGCCCATGGAGATCCACAAGCTCTCGATCGTTCACTGAAACGCGCTGTTGTTCGTCTACCCAGTCAAGACCCTCCACCAGAACAAGTTGCCGTTTCGCATGCTTTCAATAAAGTTTTGAGGGCGGCGAAGGAATTGCAGAAGACACAAAAGGATTCTTTTATTGCGGTGGATCATTTGATTATCGCAGTTACTCAAGATACGGCTGTTCAAACATGTTTGAAGGAAGCCAACATGCCGAATGCTAAGCTTCTGCAAGATGCAGTTTCGCAGATTCGGGGAACGAAAAGAGTCGATTCTAAGACGGCGGATGCGGAGGAGGATAATGAAAACTTGAAGAAATTTACTATCGATATGACGGCGATGGCTAGAGAGGGAAAGATTGATCCAGTTATTGGCAGAGAAGAAGAAATTCGCCGAGTCGTTAGAATTTTGTCGAGACGTACGAAGAATAACCCAGTACTGATCGGTGAACCTGGTGTAGGAAAGACGACAGTTGTGGAGGGATTGGCTCAGCGAATTGTCAACGCTGATGTGCCGGATAATCTTGCTGCTTGCAAACTTCTCTCTCTGGATGTCGGATCGATTATTGCTGGAAGTAAATACAGAGGAGAATTTGAAGAGAGAATGAAGGGTGTTTTGAAGGAGATTGAAGAATCCAAGGAAATGATAGTTCTTTTCGTCGATGAAATGCATCTTCTCATGGGTGCTGGCGCCAGTGGTGAAGGTGGAATGGATGCTGCTAACATGCTTAAACCTATGTTGGCACGTGGACAACTTCACTGTATCGGTGCTACCACCCTCAACGAATATCGAAAGTACATCGAAAAGGATGCAGCATTCGAACGTCGTTTCCAACAAGTTTTGGTTAAGGAACCATCTATTCCCGATACCATCTCTATTCTCCGTGGATTAAAGGAGAAATACGAAGTTCATCACGGAGTTACCATTGCAGACGGTGCTCTTGTTTCTGCGGCTACTTTGGCTGCTAGATACCTTACACAAAGACGACTCCCAGATTCTGCTGTTGATCTCATTGATGAAGCAGCAGCAGCTGTTCGAGTTGCCCGAGAATCACAACCCGAAATCATCGACTCGCTTGATCGAAGACATCGACAACTCGAGATTGAAATTCACGCTTTGTCTCGAGAAAAGGACGAAGCTTCGAAAGCTCGCTTGGCTCAGGCTAGGCAAGACGCTAGTAACGTTGAGGAAGAACTTAGACCTCTACGTGAGAAGTATGAAAGCGAGAGAAAGAGAGGCAAGGATATTCAAGAGGCTAAAGTCAAGCTTGATCAGTTGAAGGTTAAGATGGACGAAGCTACTCGTTTGGGTGATACTAGCAAGGCTGCTGATCTTCAATACTACGCCATTCCAGAACAAGTAGCGTTCATCAAGACTTTGGAGAAAGAGAAAAAGGCTGCGGATGCGGCTCTTAGCTCTTCTTCTAACCTTGATTCCGGCGGATCTCTCATCACTGATACTGTTGGTCCAGACCAAATTAACGAGATTGTTGCTCGATGGACTGGTATCCCTGTTCAAAGACTCAAGGCTACTGAGAAGGATAAGTTGTTGAATATGGAAAAGGCATTGGGCAAGATAGTTGTTGGCCAATCGGAAGCTGTGAAAGCAGTCTCAGATGCCATCCGACTTCAAAGAGCAGGACTTTCAAATCCAAACTCGCCACCAAGTTTCCTGTTCTGTGGTCCATCTGGTACTGGTAAGACACTTCTTACCAAAGCTCTTGCCGACTTCCTCTTCGATGACGAAAAGGCTATGATCAGACTGGATATGTCCGAATATCAAGAACGTCATGCACTTAGTCGTATGATTGGTGCACCACCTGGATATGTTGGACATGATGCCGGAGGACAACTTACCGAAGCCCTTCGTCGCAAACCCTTCTCTATCCTTCTCTTTGACGAGATCGAAAAAGCAGCAAAGGAGATTCTTACAGTTCTGCTTCAACTCATGGATGATGGTCGTATCACCGATGGCCAAGGACGTGTTATTGATGCTAGAAACTGTATAGTCGTCATGACATCCAATTTGGGAGCCGAATACCTCGATCGTCCTAATGCTGCTAACGGAAAAATCGATCCTACTACTCGTATGATGGTCGAGCAAGCTCTTAAGGATTATTTCTTGCCGGAATTCTTAAATCGTATCAATGCTACGATTATCTTCAACCGTCTTACTAAGAGGGAAATCCGTTCTATTGTCGATGTTAGACTTGGAGAAATTCAAAAGAGACTGCAGAATAATAGTAGAGATGTTCGCATCGATTGTTCTCCTGCGGTGAGAGATTATCTTGGTTCAGCAGGTTATAGTCCAGCGTATGGTGCTAGACCTCTGGCAAGATTGATTGAGAAGGAGGTGTTGAATAGAATGGCGGTGTTATTATTGAGGGGAGCGATTAAGGATGGAGAGGTCGCAAGAGTTGTAATGAAAGATGGTAGAATTGAGGTTTTACCTAATCATCAGGGTAGTAGCGAGGAGGTCAGTAGTGAGGATGATATGGAAATAGATGAAGTGGATGCGAATGAAGCATTTGGTAGGAGGGGAGGAAATAGAGGTTATAGATATGAAGGGGATAGCGATGGAGACATGGATTTGTATCAATAAAGGACTTGATATAAGGGTATGAATGGGTAATTTATGATGATGGTTAATGACTAGGGAATGAAATGGGCGTTGGGTGTTTGGGAATTAGGTCTAAAATCAGATTATGATGATCAAATGAAATCAAATATACCCTGAAAGTTTTAAGAATTTGAATTTGCTACTGTGATTGTGTGAGATCTTGGAAGTAGTGATTGATCTTGGGGCTAGTGAAGGGAAATGTGAAGGGAAATAGGATATTAATTGCGGATGGTGAAGATTTTTGAAAACGATAGTCTGTTGGATAGAGGTGGAAGAAAGATACTGTGGTGATGAGTTGCTATCAAATACTCTGTTCACTATTTCTTAGAGGGGAAGGAAGGGTTGCTGCATGTCTAAGGCATAGCGAGGAGGAAGGACAGTGCTATTGTGCACAATTTCTGTTTCTATTTATTTTATTTACTTGTATATCTTCCTTTCTTCTACTGGTAGAGCTTTCATTAATCGTATACGGATATTGATATTGCCTGGTCTGCACTGAGATTGAATAGTTACATTTGTGTGAACATAATACAAAGTCGCCTAATCTGTTTACTGTTTACCACAGCTTGGTTTATGCTCCTGGGGGGAAGGAGGAGGAGGGAGGGGCTTAAGTGTGTAGTTTGCTAAAAGAGATGTTGTTGTTGGGTTTGATTCGTGAGGTTGGAGGACTATGAGGGATTGGGGAAAAGTATGGGAGTTGGATGATTGAATTGGGGTGCTGATGCTGAGGATGAGGATGAATGGATTGGAAATTTGGGGGTTGGAGGTAGGAGGTTTTTATGCTGGATTGGATTGTTTGGCTTGTTGATTTATTTGGAGAAAGTCACAAGGGAATTGGAACTATCGGCGCGCTGTTGTGATTTTCTCCAAGGAGGAGCAGGTAGATCTCGGTGTCTAACATTTCGAGAGATGAGGACAAATGTGTGGACGGATCTGAACTTTGGATATGATAGGGCGCTTAATTGCTTGGGATGAAGTTCATTAAAATTCAGAGCTGTTGCCTTTGCTGGGGATTGTTCTGAAATTGATTAGGACTTGTGAGTGTGTATGTGATGGCTTGGAGTGTTTTAGGTTTCTGAGATTGAATGATGAGAATGAGGTAAGACTGGTGAGTTTTTGTATTGAGGTGGAAGTTTTGGGCGGAGATTTGACGTGCTGGGACTTTGCTGTTTGGATATATTGAGTAACTTCAATGGTATGTGCAGAGATATTGGTTGTTTGGCCTGTGGTAATGAGTGAAGGGTATGCTTTTCCTGCTCCAAGCAGATTTGGCGTTCTGATGCGAGGTGACAGAAGTCAATGATGTAAGTAAATATAAGTTCCTATCATTTCTTCCAAGGCGAGTCTTCAGCATATATAGAATGCAAGTCCTGTGGTGCAATTTCGGTTCTGCCGATCTAACTCGATAAGTATGCTAATGGTTGAAATAGAGTGAAGGGAGCATTTGCAAGTGATGTGAACCAAGAGTATATATCATCTTCTGTACTCCTAATGGACTACCATCTAGTAAGGTTTTTGGTAGAGATGGTTTAGATTGCTGTCCGATCTTTTAGAGCTACCATACAAGAAATGCCAGGGGTTTGGTCAGAAGTAATAAGTCAAGTGCATGCAAATTTCATGCAACAATAGAATAAGCCCAAGGCTGGTTTGGATATATCCCGGCCGAGAAACACAAATAGACGACCAAACCATTATGTCGATTGGATACGATGACTCGATGCCTTAATTTGCGGTAATAAGTGAAGATTACATTCGCTTTGCTCTGTTATGAGATAGTATTCACATCTTGTTTTCAAGAGAGGATGGCTGATGGTGACCTTTCTTGATGCTAGCAAGATTGATTAGAAGGATAGCAAAGGGTGCTGTGCGTTCTTCATATTTTATAGTAGGACTTGAGCATTCTCGATATACTAGACGAGCTCCGAGTAACCTATTACTCGCACTGGGAAGCTCAATTTAAATTTCTTGAACCACTAATAAGAGAGCTAGATCATCCATACTTCCAGAGTTTGTTTGGAAATAAGGCTCAATGAACCTTGATATTACACGATTGAGAGCCGTAAGTGATATTCGTAATGTAAGAAGAGATGGAGCATTCTAACTGACTAGGCGAGCGTATCCTTATTCCATCTATCGTACTATAAAGACCAATTTGAGCTTATAAATCTGGAATAGTCAGAGAATGTCCTGGGAACGACTGAATCTAAAGCAACAAGCAACTGTATGTAACTCCAATAAATAAGGTGTTCCTTTCACCTTTCGTTTGTTGTACTGTCATGACATTGGATTGGCATGGTTGAAATTAGCGAGTCCATGGAAGCTTATCAGAGGATCAATATCACGTGACAAAATCTGTCTGTGCTCAAGCTGTATAGTTCCAATTTGTTCTTCTCAGCCCTGTTCACCCCACCACGGAATTTCGAAGTCGATTCGCCGATTGGACTGTACCCGAATAATCATGAATACTAGTGGCACTGCTTCCACCCCTCTTGGTATGTAACCTCATAGCCTGATATCTCGATAAACAGCTCTTTCTAACCTCAAGAATCTATCAATAGCTACCTTACTCGAAGCTTCCCGTGAGAAAAGCAGAATCATTAAGGAACGCGACGAGACACACTTATACTTGACTGGAGAGCGAAATAAGGACTATTGGACGCAACAAATAAGGGAAATTCTTATTCGACTTACACTATTGCAACAGGCAGCGCGCGCAATTACAGCACAGAGACCCTAGATTAAGATGGCTTCGTTGTACCCACCAATGTCACCTACTATGAGTAGGAAGAAAGCTCTTGTTGTTACTGGTAAATTGCCCATTGAACATTCTCAAGTAAATGTGTGAATAGCTATTAACCGGCTCTTCTGTTTGTAGATCCGCCAAAGTTCGATCTTGAAAGCTACATTGCGAATTATAAAGGTGAGATATCAAGTCTTCTGTGATATGTGATCTGTCATGGAGCTTTGTAGCTAACATTTCTTCTTGTTCAGGCAGAACCAGACTTGAGCGACTCTATCTCATCGGCATCACCTCCACCTTTCTCGGCGTCGAAGCTCTAAAAATGCTAATTAAAGAAGCAAAGGGAGGAAAGGATGTTACGATTTACATGGATGCATGTACTGCTATGACCAGAATTGCGCCAAGTGAACCAGAGGCTGTCAGAGATGATCAATGGATTGATGCTACAAATAAGTCCAACGCTGCGGAGGCTGCAAGCTTGGAAGCACAGTTGAAAGGCTATAAGAATAATCTAATCAAGGAAAGCATTCGGGTAAGTCATCATACTTGTATTCCACAGCAGGTGGATTCCGAAGATTGACTGGCTAATGAATCGCCGAACAGATGGGAAATGAAGATTTAGGAAAACATTATGAAGCTACAGGTCAACTTGCACTTGCATTCGAAGCTTATTCTCGTATGCGACAAGATAGCAATATGTCAAGACACGTAATCGATGTTTCTAAACATATCATTGAAGTTTCTATTGAAAGAAAGGAATATATCGCAGTTCTTTCCAACGTTCAAAAGATGAGAGGAACAGTTGTTGGCGCAGATGATGAGAAGGTTATTAAACCATTTTGCCATGCAGCTGAAGGTATCGCACAAATGCATGCTGGGCAATATGCTGCTGCTGCACAAACTTTCTTGCAGACACCTCCAGGAATGGGTTTGACTTACAATACAATCATCAGTCCTAACGATATTGCTGTCTATGGAGGTCTTTGCGCTTTAGCCACTATCGATCGTAACAAATTACAAAAGACAGTTCTCGAGAACTCCGATTTCCGCGCCTACCTCGAAATGGAGCCACATATTCGTCGTGCCATTCAGGCATTTGTCGGTAGCAAATATTCGGCATGTTTAGAGATTCTGGAGTCTTACAAGGCTGATTATCTACTTGATATTCATTTGCAAAAGCATGTTGATGAGCTTTACACACGAGTTAGAAGCAAGAGCATCGTTCAATACTTCATTCCATTCAGTTGTGTTACGTTTGAGACATTGCACAAGAACTTCGCTCCACCTGGAAAGAACATTGAAAAGGAATTGGCAGAGATGATCAAATGTGGCGAGCTGGATGCTAGAATCGATCTCGTTGCTAAGGTACATTTATTTCCTTTTTTCTTTGAAAAAAAAAACCTACTTCTACACTTCTTCCCCCTTACTCAATTTATCATGCTAACATATTCCGATCAGACCCTTGTATCAACGCCCAAAGCCAACCGTCAAGAAGTTCAACAAGAAGTTCTCAAGACTACAAAGCAAGTCGAACGTGAAGCTAGACAACATTTGCTACGTATGAACATCGTCGCTTCGGATATGGAAGTCAGATCACATAGAGAAGGTGGTAGAAGAGGCATGGGTGGCGGATTGGCTGGCGAATTATTTAGTGGTAATTAAGGGAAGTGTCGACGAGGGGCTGGTGACATGATGATACGATACGATACGATGAAAATGGCGTTTATGATTGATAGGGGCCGAGGCTGATTCTCATTTGGGGCGGCGTCTATGGTTCGGGGTAGGTATTTACGGGGAAGGGTTATTCATGTGCGTTGCATGATAGGTACTTACGGGCTATTTTATGTTCTCAGTTCTATCGGTTGAAAGATGAGAAATTAGATAGATGGTTGTTAATTCTTAGACATAGAGGAATACTATGACTTATGAATCTTAGTTTGTATCATTTGACTCGTCTGATGTTGTGAAACTGTGTATGAGGAAGTCTGGAGCGTAATTCTGGAAGGATTGACGGAGAAGCTGATATGGTGGAGATGAGGTTAATTAGCATGGTGTTGAGGCTGATAGGGTATTCGTGGAGCAAGGAGGATGGCGCAAGTAAGTAAGGAATGGAGGGTTAGATAGAGAGAGTGTATACAGAGGTAATGGTGATAGTAATGGGAATGGGAATGGAAATGGTATGTAGTGATTGGTGAATTTTAATGCAATGGAATAAAGAAAAGGGAAAACGAGACGTAAGTTTTTTCAGAGGAGAGTTTGAAGCTGTGAAGTTGGGAGGGGAGGGGAGGGAAGGTGGGAATGGGTATGGAGGGGAGATGTTTGTTTAGGTTCTTAAAGGCAGTAGATCTGGGAATGTGGATGGGGGTTGTTGGATCGTGGAGAATTCTTTGGGTGGGTTTGTTGGGTTTGTGCTTTGGACTGATTTTATTTTATTTTATTCGTATTGATATGTTTTGGTGGATATTTGCCCCAGGGGAAGGAGAGTGGAGGAGCGGAGGAGGAAGAGTTTAGGTGATAGGGTTCAGATTTGGGGTTGACTTTGGTTTCGATGTGGAGAAGAGAGGAGAAGGGAGCAGGGGCAGATGTGAATAGGGAATGGGGAATCTAGATTCCGAAGATGTGGAAATAGCGTTGTTAGGGGACGTCGGGGGGTGGAGGTTGAACTTGAATGCACAAATGGATTGGGAGTCAACTTGAAATCAGTGAATGAATAGGAGATGTTGATCTATGAATGAATACATGAGTTTCCAGGAATCCAAGTGAATGAGAAAGTCTACGCCTGTGTTCCAAAGAACGATATCGGAGAGAGAAGGGAAGAGGAAAGGAAAGGGAAGGAGAAGAAGAGGGATTTCAAATCGATTTCATGAGAAGCCCGAGAAGTAGAATAGCATAGTGCTGTGTGTAAGTAATGTATCAATTTGTGGGTCTATTTTCTATTTTCTAAGGGTACATACAATACACTACGGGGAATTCTTCCATCATGACCTACATATACGTCATATTTTGAAGTCTAAGACAAGGGATAGAAAGGCATCGCGAATGACTTCGAGAATTATTTGATACCCGACACTGTCTTATCATTCATTGAATCTGATGGCCGTCAGATTTCAATCATCGATTTTCTATTTTGTGAATGATCAGCATAGGCTACTCGAAGTAGCCCAATACATCTTGGAGATGGAAAACATTCGTGGTCGGAATGCTCTTACAGTAAGACTGAGTCCGGGGAAGTTTTCTTTTGGTGGAATTCTAGTTCAACTGTAGAATTGCTTATTGTGTTGAAGCGGTGGTAGTGTAAATGTATTGGCGGGAGACGAAGAGAAACATATGCCGAGTTCTCGGGAAACGTATAGTAACGTAGCGCTGTGGACGTAAAAACGATACTGAAATCATGGTTGGCAGACCGTAGAGATTTCTGCTGGTGTTCTGACAATAATGTATGCAATCTTACATTGATAAAGATACCTCACACGCTTAGAGTCAGGTATACCGATTTTTGGAGAGCGTGGTTGATGAAAATATGATATGAAAAGCACAAGTAGCGGGCTTGGAGAAGCTCCACATGAGAGGACATTGAAGGTCCATGAAATAAATAAAAATAGTGCTACATTGTTCTGCTGTTGAATATTCAGTCTTTGGGTCAATACGCACTCGGTAGTATTGGTAACAGAGGACATTAGTTGCAAGCTTCTGTCAAAGGCGCGAATCCGAAAATTTGATGAAGGACAGAAACATGTCACATATATCGACGTCGTGTATCTTGTGATTGACTGGGGGGTCATCTAGGAAACGCAAGAAATCCTTTGATACGCGATATTGATAAAATGCGGCAGAGATGGTGTTCACATTAGTATTCTGAAATGACAGGGAACTTCCATAGCCCAGACACAACAACTTCTGTAAAAGATATTTGGAGATGTGTGTTTAGGTTATACTTAGCATATAAAACGCGAAATCCTCCGGGTTCGCTACTGATTCATCGAAGGGGAATATAAGCTATTTCAGCTACCAAACAGAGAGAACATCTGTGTATCGCTGCCGTTATTCGTTTTATTGTATGATTATAGTGCTCACTTACAGAATCAAGATCACAGTATTCAGACCTATCACCTGTCATAACGATGGTATGATTTCAGCCCAAACTTTTGGTAAGATGGAGGTCTTAACTTTTTGCCATCAACAAAAGAAATCATGGTATATGGATCATGTAGCAATATACAATGCACAGTCTCATACAATTTGAAGCCCTTTGACACTACAAAGGAAATCTAGGAGAAGGGGGAAGCAGTCGGTCCCTCGCCCTAATGAATAAAGGGGGGAGATTGGAAGAGAGACGGGAAAGGAGAAAGGAGAAAGAAAAGAGTGATGCAAATACTCCAATTGGGTAACTTTTAAGGCAGGCTTAATACAACATGTGCAGCAGCACACCCCAGATTGTATTGCAATTCCCCTACTATCAAATTAAGGCTCTATAAGCATTATCAGATGGATTATCAAAGTTAATTGAAGTTCAGACAGTTTCCGATCCACTTTATCGACGCTCTCACCCGGGAATAGGAAATTATGGTATAATCTTATTTAAAAGAGGTTTAGTGTGACACAAAGCTGTTGAGTTATACGGTGATAATCACTGTTTGGGGAGTCTGAAAAGCATAAGAAGCTAAGATATGCATGCAGTATGAAAATCCCCAGATTGAAGATGCAAAACTAAACCAAGATCACCACACTTATGGCAATTGATTGAGTGAGCATCAAACATTGTAACGCGCAAGCTTTATATCCCTTAAAAGAACAAAAGATGTTGATATCATTTCAGTTGCAAAGCTGGACATTGAATCATTGTTGCAACACAAATGGAGTGAAGTGAAAGGCACTACACCGCCAACAACAAGAAACATCCGCGACTGCATTGCGATCGGTCAATGGTAGACATTCCCATTTCGAGGTTGCTTGATCCAGGTGCTAACAAAGTCATGAGAGGGGACATCAATTCAGAAGCCGAACACCATGACAACAGGTTAGTTCGGGACTCGGCAAGGATGACACAACGGCCGATCCGATAGTCTCCCGACAAGAATTTTCTGGAAATGTGCGGGATGGTGGCTAACCAGCTGTTATTAGATATGGCGGGGTAATCATGAGCTGATAAATGCATGTGATCTGCCAAAGTACCGGCTTGTCGGGATGAAGCGAAGACAAGAAAAGAAAACATATGAAAATTGAGGGGATTCCCATGTATGGAGTGTCTCGAATTCGAGGTGGCTTGAGATATGACATATGATTCGCTGCAGAAGATAGGGTGATATTGGCAGTGCAGTTTCTAGGCACAGACAATGTTGAGTCTAGGAAGACAGTCTTTTGCGACTGGGCCATTGATGAAATGCTGTTGGTGGGGTATCAAGTGTGCGTAAAACTGTAAAAATGGGCTTGAGAGCAGACCGGTGAACGGTGAACGGTGAGAATGAACAGGATGAACCAATCAGATACACGACGAGGAAGCATCAGTAGGCAAACAGTCTTCTCACAGGCACATAAGTAGATAGAATGTAGGTTGTTGTTGGCGATTAGTTGTGTATAAGGTTTGATTCGTCAAAACCCAAAATAGGAGTAGTGGAAGGGGCCGAACCTAGTATGGTCGACTGAAAAAGAGGACTAATTCTTGACCTTTTAAGGTACGGGCGGGACCGGTATTATAATATCGGCGATGATATGAGCTAGACCGCTGCAAAAGATCTTGAGAAGTTGAGAACTTGACCGATAGTGCAACACCAAACATCAGTGCGGTCATTGTTCTTGTCTTGATATCGTATCCCGGTAGGTATCGTAACTGCAAATCTCCAAGTCTAATCTAATCCTCCACGTAAAGGCTGTCTGTCGTATTCACATGTGGATTTGGAGAAGAGATGAAGCATGCTTGCGGATATCCCCAATCTTGGAAGAGTGGAGAGAGCAGTCCGTACTCGAGTAGATGTGGAATAGATGCGTGGCTCGTATATTCCGTCCATACTGAGTAGATAGATGTTGAGTATATATTCGGGCGAGGAGTTGGTTTTGTTGAAAAAGACGGAGAGCAGATCTACTTCAGGGTTTATAAAATTAGGAACATAAAAGCAGCCTTGAAGAAAGAATGAAGCAATGGAGTTTAAGGGAAAACAACTGCATACGCGCTTTAATGCATCGCTGCTTGAAAACGACTGTTATTGGAGGATGTAGGCGTGGAGGGGGGTGAGAGGAGGGGGTGTACACGCTCGTTGTGCTCAATGGAAACATTGGCAATCTCGAAAGAAGTGACACAGGAATCTGACCGAAAGAGAAATTTACCTAGGTAATGTGTACATGAATGACTACTTGGTACATCGTGAGACTTTGCATTCACAAAAGAAGAGTCCATGTTTGTTCGTAGGATAACACAGCAAAGAGTAGCCTCATCACCCAAAATAGACTTGCACTCAGATACAATAAATGATAATAAACACTTACACTTTTTCACTTGCACTTACCTGCATGAGCACATACCGGTGGCCTTCTTACTTGGTGGGATGGATGCACTCATTCATTGAGGTTATGTACCTAGGTGAGTATGCTTCGAAACAAGTGAATGCCGCAAACCATTCATGACATTGGTAGTTCTCTTGATGTACTCATTCATGGATACCTAGGTACTCATAGATAGACACTGAGTAGATGGCTTTAGACATTCTGTGGACATTCGATGAACATTCTATCAAACATTCTTGTTTACCATCATCATATTTCAGTATTAATCACGTTCGCAATGGGAATACAAGATATAAAACCGTTGGCTGACTCGTGTACTTCCTCCATACATGTCGAGATGCAGTCAACAGTCCATGATAGTCAACAGTCAACCAGTCCTACGTAAGGCATAAAGCTAAACTGATCCTCCAACTTGGCTATTGTGCTTCTCCTCTCCCAGATTAATCTCACCACCCCTCCCCCTTCGTAACCCCTTCATAACCCCTTCATCCTTCCAACTTTTCTTCCCTCTATACTACTCTGCATCACATCACAGTACAGCCAGTCTTACTATCTTTGTGAAGAAACAGAAACGAAATCATTCCCCCCAAAGCGAGGATTTGTATGTGTGTGACTTGGAATAACTTCAAAAGTTTCAGGTATCCCACCATATAAAATTAACACCATCCGATTGATACCAGAAAGAGATAAAGGCAAGAAAAAAGAAAGGAAAGGAGAGGAAAATCCGAATCACCGATATATCATAGGAAAATTAAAAATTTCCCCTCCTCTCTTTCTACCCAAAGACTCTTTTTCGACTCCGTCTGGCTCTCACGCTCATCTTATTTTTTTTCTTCTGTTCCTGGCTCCACTGCTTGCTTTGTACGGCCGTTCTCGAACCTTTGACCTTTTTTTAAGGCGATAAACGAGAGCGCGCTTGTTGAAAATACAAGAGAAATCCGACAAGCCCGTAACAACTTCATCCCTCGACTTGACAACCACGAAATATTTTCGAGTCGACAAAGATCACTTTGCGAAACTTCATCGACGATTTTCAAGACGAGATTATCGCATCCTTTGCGACATAAGCGGCGATATCAATAATTCAAAAAGGACCGGTGAATAAATCATAACAAATCACCTCGTTTTCACATACCTGTTTACTCAGAGTTCTATTCAGCTTAATACAGTTGGTGACTTCTCGAGCCCAATTTGTTAATACTGCCACAACATCACGACATCAGGAAAAATACTCCTTGAAGTGTAATTTTGACGTGGTTTTCATCAAAGAAATCCATTGAGGCGGATTCAACTTCATTGTAAGTTATTCGAACCCTCCTTAATTCTTGTTGAGCTTCGCTTCCAACATAATCAAAAGGCTCTATTTACATCAAGTTACCTTGGCATAGACTAATTCATAACGCGCAGCAGATCGAGAAGTGAAGTGAATAAAAGCCCTAGCGTAAACACATCTACGACTTTATAATCCACTGTCTTTTGACGTCCACCTGCTGCGGATTACATTACAACACCCACAGTCAAATTCTCCTGAAGGAGGACAAACGCGATGGCAGAACCAGAAGTCGATCTCGACTCTATCATCGATAGACTGCTAGAAGTTAGAGGCAGCAGACCAGGCAAACAAGTACAGCTTTTGGAACAAGAAATTCGTTATCTTTGCACCAAGGCTCGCGAAATCTTCATCTCTCAACCCATCCTCTTAGAGCTCGAGGCACCAATCAAGGTATGATATTAAGCATTCATTTGTTCAATGCGCTAGGCTCGCAAAAGCAATACTGATTGAATGGCATGATTGTAGATCTGTGGTGATATTCATGGTCAATACTACGATCTCCTCCGTTTGTTCGAATATGGTGGATTCCCTCCCGAGGCTAACTACCTCTTCCTTGGTGATTATGTTGATAGAGGCAAACAGTCTCTCGAGACTATCTGTTTGCTCTTAGCATACAAAATCAAATACCCAGAAAACTTCTTCATCCTCCGCGGTAACCACGAGTGTGCCTCCATCAACAGAATCTACGGTTTCTACGACGAGTGCAAGAGAAGATACAACATTAAGCTATGGAAGACATTTACTGATTGCTTCAACTGCCTCCCCATTGCAGCAATCATTGACGAAAAAATCTTCACTATGCACGGTGGTTTGAGTCCAGATTTGAACTCCATGGAGCAAATCCGTCGTGTCATGCGACCAACTGATGTGAGTCCACCAGATAAAGCTTTTCATTTGCCAGCTCTCAATGTGCCATGGGAGGAGGCCAGAGCTCTTGCTGATATGAAACTAGATTCCTGATTGCGGTCTCCTTTGCGATCTCCTCTGGTCTGATCCAGACAAGGATATCACCGGCTGGAGCGAAAACGATCGTGGTGTATCATTCACATTCGGTCCCGATGTTGTTTCTAGGTTCTTACAAAAGCATGATATGGATTTGATATGCAGAGCTCATCAAGTCGTCGAGGATGGTTACGAGTTCTTCTCAAAGCGGCAATTGGTAACACTCTTCAGTGCGCCCAATTACTGTGGAGAGTTTGACAATGCCGGAGCGATGATGAGTGTGGATGAGAGTTTGCTATGTTCATTCCAGGTAGGTCGCAATTGCAGTGTCCTCAATCTCATGAGTGTTATATTAATTTTCCTCTTCCAGATTTTAAAACCAGCGGAGAAAAAACAAAAGTACGTCACAACAGGTGGTCTAGGTGCCTCCAGCAGGCCCGTCACTCCGAGGAAAAAATAAAAATGATCAATTACGAACTTCCTTTTGTGTAGCAGGTTCGGACGCAGATAAGCTTAATTCGCGATTTTCCACGCAACGAATATCACCCTCGATCAATATGCGCCCTTTCACCGATCGCTTCTCTTTGGGATCCGTCATCTCACCAGACTTTTGCAAGTATCCTCCAGACACCTCGATCTCGACCAAATATACCTATTTGCGCGACACCTTCCGCATCCTACCTTTCGTTTCCTTATTCCTCTCATTGCCAAATGCGACTTTGTACACATCAACTTTTCCATTACGCTTTTCGATCACTAACACTAAGGATTCCACTCGATACGTTTTTCCCAACGACTTTCGGCCGAATCACGACCTTTTGCTTTGAATTGACATGCCAGCATTTTCACGACATGACGATAGATACATGGGACGTTATTCGGGCGAGTTTCGGTTTTCGGGTATTGGCATTCGGATTTTGGGATTCTGGTTTTCATAGAAAGGCGGGAGGGGAATTTTCAGAGAGAAGGCTCATGACGGGTAACTCATAATATTTGTGTTCATACGTTTGAGAAGGGGGGCAATTGATTGTGCCGGGCAACGAGATAAAGAAGGGAAAAGGGAAGGAAGGATGTGCATGGGTTGAGCACAGAAAGCAGAAAAAATAACTAAACGATGCGAATTGTACCTTTGTTCTATGTAACTGACCTTTTTTTTACTACACCTCATTGTCACTTTTATGAGACGAGCTATGCGTGTTGATGATTGATTTTGTTTTATTTGTTTGATGAGTGAAATCATGCTTGTTAAGAGTTTGTGTATGTTGGGGGGATAGCTGATGATGGTGAAGGGAATGGTTTGTATGTGCCGTATGGGCAATTGCATGGTAGGTTAGTCAAAACCTCTTGCATCTTTTCTTTTGATGTTCATTCTAGGTTGAAGCTTTTCGTAGCTTTAGCTTTGGCTTAGGCTGGCCATCGACTATTGTATATTTTCTTACTTTCTTAGGTTGCTGCCTATCTTTATTTTAGTCTTGGTTTGTCTTCTCTGCGTGGGGGCACACTATGTTATTATTATTATTGTGGTTAGACCTGATGATTGCAGAGGTGCTGTGATTTGGGTAAGTTTGGGTAGGTATTGAGGTATTGAGGTAGATGGATACTAGGTAGATAGATATCTCTCTCGAGGGAGGACAAGCACAGCGGAGAGAGATAAAATGGCAAAAGGTGGGAGATGGGGGGCAGGTGGGATGGGGGAGGAGGGAGGTGAACAGTAAGATAGGATAGGATAGGAGGATCGTCCATGGGTGGTGCACAGACTATTATTGTGGGAAGGGAAGAAAAAAAGAAAGAGAGGGAAAGAAAACTTTGATTTGTGTTTGTGTTTGTATTGTAATTGTGATTAGAATTATCATTATCATTATCATTCTTGATGAGTTATTAGTTGCAATTGATGGGGATTTTTTTTTTAATTTGGATTGGATTGGATTGTATATTGTGGTGTACGATATATGTCTGTATGCTTTAGTACTATTGCTACTATGGTAAGAGTGTCTGAAACTTTGTATGAAGATGAGATGGGTGATGTAGATCGGGGGTTAAGTTTGGATGGGTTGGCTCGTTGGATTGGGTTGGATTGGGTTGTTTGGGTTGTTTAGGTTGTTTAATTTGATTGTTTGGGGTGTAGGTGGTTTTGGGTTGGATTAATTGGTTGTTTTATAGAGAAAGTCAATTGAATTGAATTGAAATGGAATGAAATGAAATGAAATGAGGTTTGTGATGATTTTTTCATGGGGGCTTTAATCTTTTGATTGTTGATTGCTTGGAGTTGGGTAGTTGGGTAGTAGGAAGGGAGTGTTGCGAGTTGAGTCTGTGCATTTGGATATATTGATGAATGGATGGATGGATAAGAGGGTTGGGCTCTGCGAAGGGGAGGGAAGGGAAGGTAATGGAATGGAATGGAATGGAAGAAGGTAGGTGATGGTGTGGAAGAAAGTAGGGGTAGGTGGGACGTGGATTTGGATTCTGATGGAGGGTTAAGGTGGATGAATGGCGGGGAGGAGATGAGGAGATGAGAAGGAAAGAAGGGGGGAGAGGGAGGTTGATAAGTTTAGATATTAGAGTATGGTATGGTGTTGTATGGATATAGATATAGATATAGATATAAGATGTGAGTTGATGTTGTGAGCAATGGGTTTATGGTATTCAAAAGTGGACTTTACTGATTGATCTGATGTAGGTAGATCTGTCCATTTTCTTCTCTGGAGCTTAGAGATCAGATATTTGTGGAATATAGGGCTCCTATGTAACCACCAAAATAATACATATACCATGTTTCACACCTCATTCTCTCGTTCTCGCTCCATGCTCCTATCCCTATTCCTCCTCATCCCAAACCCCTTCCAAATCCACATGTACCCTTATCTCCTTCTCCCCATTACCCTCCATATATTCTTCAACTGTTTTTTAACCTCTTCATCTCTGCTAATCCCGTTCTTTCTTTCACCATTGCCATCGTTACCGCCCATCCCACATATATTCTCAAAACCCAACCATATAGACCCCCTTACACCACGGCGTCCTCGCTATCGCTTGTTTCCAAAGCTCTACTATACCATTTGCTTTGCGATTCATTTCTTCTCTGCTATTTTCCCTGCTGGCGGACCCTGGTCCAAGTATCAAAGCTTTTGAGGATGATATGGATGAAGATGAGGATGAGGAAGGTAAAAACTGAGGGTATACATCACAGAATAGTAGATACAATCTCCAAAGCGCACTCGAACTCGCAAGTCCAGAATCCAAGTTTGATTTTGAACCTTTAAGATTTAATGCCGAAACGAATGTTGAATTTATCGTATTGAGATTTGGTGATGCAGATTGAGTGTTCTGAAGATAGTGGTGGATAATGTTGAGGTAGAGGGGTAGGATGTTATGAGTTGAAGAAGTCGAGCTATGCAAAAGATCAGAGAACAAAGTGCTCAGAGTAATCGGGCTCATAAGTTTCGTAATTCCGAGTCCCGGAGATGTGAGGAGGGAAAAGAAAATCGTATTGTTTGGGAATAAGCGTAGCGAGGTGGTGAGTTGTGAATGAAGGGTTTGAGGACGATAGGGGCCAGATTTTGCGTGGTGGTGTAGTAGACGGGCTGTGGATTGGTGGAGGAGAGATAGGGGGTAGGCTAATTGTGGTGAGGTCAAGCGGGAAGAAAGCTGGACGGAGAAGGCGGTGAGAATTTCGAGAGCGGAGGTGATGTTTCCTTGTTGAGGAGACTGGGGCGCGCTTGTGGAGGTGGTGGTTAGGTACTTGAGGAGGGCAAGGAGTTCGGTGTACAGGACTGCGTGTGTAGGATTTTGGGTTGTGAGGAAATGGTCGCGAGCGGAGGAGAGATATTGTTGGGTTTTGAGGAGGGCAGTTGGAGTTATTTCGGTGGGGATGGTTGGTTTGGGAATACCGTGAGGAATGGAGAGGAGGTGCGACAATGCAGTTTCTCTACATCCGATCGAGATGTTTGCCCATATCAGACTCTTCCAGAGGTGGACTGAATCTTTGTTGTCGTTGAGATCTGGCGAAGAGAGCATAGATTGATTCATCCCTAGAGCTGCAGTGTAGATTCCATTTGACATTTCCTGGTTGCCTTTTGACCATTCGATCATAGCGTACGCATTGTAGAGCTTGAGACTGGAGGAATGTTGTTTGATGAGAGTTTTAGCGACCTTCTTGATGGTTGCGGGCTCGTTTATCCATTCAAATGCTAAGTAGTATTCTGCGAAATCTTCTATTGGATATGACTGTGTGAGTTGTTTCAAAGTGTTGCGAACCCACGAATAAGAAATGGGTCCATCATCCTCATTACCGTATACTTCTCGCCATGGCTTGAAGCTACTGAACCAGCCGTTGCTAAACATAGATTCTGGGGCCATTGCAAGAGTCGTTGTAGGAGTTGCGAAGACTGACGAAGCTTTCGTTTCTTCGCTCTCAATCGATTCCTCAGTAGATTTTTCGTGTACTTTTCTTTGACCCATCCAGAATCATAGTCGAGCATCTCATTATATAAGCAAGAATCATGGCTCCAATCCAACCTTGACTCATGATCTTGAGTAGACATAGAAGGCAAATGACAAAACATCAAAAACGCATTCAAGAGAGATCTTCGTAGGTACTCGGCAGATTTTGGCAATAGCAAAAGAAAATTCTCGATATCCGTGAACAGAATGACTCTATAAGGATCGTCTTCCACAGTATCATCCATGGTTCTTGCAGGTACTCTAGAAGCTTTGCTACGAAGAGATTCTGCGATGACCCAGCTTTCAAAGAGGTCTTGGCCATTAAGTGACATCTCTGGTTCATCGGTCTGGACATCTGGAACTGTTGAATCATCTCCTGCTTCTGCAAATCTTTTCCAGCCTAGAGAGCCTGATTCCCCAATTCGTGGAACTTCTGCCTCCCAAAACTCACCGAATAGCTCAATTGTTCTGTTTTCCACTAGCCCTGGCGCCTCATGCTCAGTGCGTATAGACATCGGCCCTTGAAAATTTATCTCCAAGATACCTTGCCAGATTGCCACTGCGAGTTCTGTGAAGCCTGATTCACGGATGAAAAGAGTGGCCCTGAGCACAACATATAGGAGCTGCTCGTAAAGTAATTCCACAGAGCTCCATTCTGGCGCGGCACTGATGCTATTCTTCAAAGAACGAATCCTACCGAGGAATACTTCACGCACATCCTCATATCTAAATGTTGAAAAGTTACTTTGTCTGAAATTTAAGTACTTTTTCCATAAGACGAGACTATTGATGTTGTCACTTGCAATCTGTGCCCATCGCTCAGCTTGAACCTTTATTTCCCAAATCTTTGCACCCTCCGCCATCAGGCCAAGAAGTAGTCGCTCGCGGTCCTGTAGGTAGTGAATCTTGTCCAAAGCCTTTTCGTACATGTGGATTTTGATGTCCGCCGTACTTCTGATCTCTGCATTAGTGATGCGACGACTTTCATCCCCTCCTTTCAGAAGCATATCTTGATGCTCAATCAATGCAAGCCACGCATCTACATCATTTGGGGCATGCTCTATTCGTCTGGATAGCTCTATGTTTTTCTGTTTGATTGAAGACTCAAGTCTCATAGTTCGGCCAGCATCTGACCCTGAGGAATCACTATCTGAAGCATATTGGAAAGCGTTATCCTGGGTTGATTAGACGTTTTAGCTTTCCCTTGTATTGAACGATAATGAGTATCATCATGATCAGATTCGGAATTCGAGCCAAGTTCCAGATCCACTCTCTTTCGCTTTTTACCTCTACTAATCTGCAGTGGAACGAAATCGTCATCGTGCAAGAAAGGTTCCTCGGCCAAAACTTCTGAACGGATTTTCAAAAGGCGAGGTCTGTCTCTCTCCACCTTAGAAAAAATGTATTTCTCTCGATTGTTGAATCTGAAGTCTCTCAAATTTGTAAGCACAATACCCTTATCATCTGAATGATCTCTGTCAATTTTTGTGTCTCGAGGTGCACCAAGAACGCGACCGGCCCCAATTCGATGGAATGGTGGCACACTGTAGCGGTGATTGCTTCCATATATCAGGTTCTTCACATCTCCTTTTCTGTCAACAACATAAATGTCAGAGGCAGTTTCGGACCCCGAGACATCTGGTTCATGTTTGGTGGACACTTCGGTAGAGCTTCTTTGAATTTGTTCCCGATTCAGTGGCCGATGATTATTAGACGAACGGCCATCTCTACTCCGAGATCTACGGCGTGTGCTATATCTTTCATTGTTTTCCCTCTCCCTATTCCTGTGCTTCTCTCGACTCCGTGATCTGTGGCGGGAGTCACGTGTATGTGACTTCTCCTTGCTCCTAGATCTATGGTTCTCTCTACTTCTAGATCTGTGGTGCCGACGATAATTTCTTGGACGTTCTTCTTCCTGGGTATGTTGTCTTGTCGCTAATTTGTGTTTATCCTCCTTTTCGGAGTCAATAACTGCGACAGTGCTAGAAGGTTTTGACCGGAAAGATGCGAATTTGGGAACGGGAGGATTTGCTTCCGTCATGATTACTAGCACGAATTTAATCAATAGGATGGCTACCAATAACTTCAAAGAATATATTCGATGAGGACCGGTTGATTTATTATGATTTTACTAATGGTAATAAAAGGTTATTTGTTTACAATGTTACTGTAAACTTGGAACTTTACTCTTAAAGCGGCAGTATTACCGGGCCGAATATTTATCCGACCAAATTTTTCGATAACGATAGAGCTGGAAATTTTTATTGAGAAGTTTGAATGAAGTAAGCGTCGAGAAATAATATTCTTGAACTTCGACATGCCATAATCTTGTAACATTGTGGTATCGATAATCACACAATGGCTTCTTCACTTAAAGCACAATTGGCGCAGATTGCGACCAACTCAACCAATTCATTAAATCTCAAGGCGCAAAAGGCTGCGCATTCAAAGTCTCTGATTTTTGAACCTAGAGTAGCGGCATCACAAAGTTTCGACACACTCTACCCATTATGTCACGAAGGATTTCAAGAACTATGTCTACTCGACGGTCGGTTCCTCGAGTTCCAGAAGACAATCTTCAGCGAACAAAGTCAGACGGTGGATCGTACACAGCTGCCAGTGGCAGAGATTTCCGAATTAGACAAACGGCTGGAAGCATTCTTGGGATTGGTCGGTGGCCGTCTACGTCTGAATCCAGCAATCAAAGCAGTTGAATGGTTGGTGAGAAGATTCAGGTATGCCTCTCGAATTCCAACCTTTTTGTTCTCGGAACTAATTCATGTAGAATTCACGAGTACAATACATCTTTTTTCTTGACAACTTTCTTACCATACCATACCCTACCTATATTTACCACACTCCTTTCCTTAATACCATCGAAGATTCCGGCAGAATATCAATTTTTAGCACCATATATTCGATCCTTGACCCAACCACAAAGAAGGCCAATTGTCACAGCTGCGACTGATAGCACTATTTTCGCCTCGACACTCAATGCATATGTTTTGCGTATATGTAAAGCTAGGCAGCATTATCCTGCTCTTCTAGCTTTTTGGGCTGGTATCATGACTGAGGCTACGAGTAACATGCTGGACAAGGCTCGCTCTGGGAGAAGAGGAGTTCAACAACAAAACGAGCAGGATGTGATAATGAGATTGCTACCAACTCTCAACGAAGGTCTTTCGATGCAAAAGGTCCCGGACTTGCGAATTGGATGTTACATGATCTTGTCAATCTTAGCTTCCAAAGGAGGATTGGACGACAAACTCCTGACAGCAATGATGGAAGCATTGGTTCTTGGTTGGACTAGCGAAACCGTTCGTCCTGGACTGGTCTGTCTTTCAATTTTGGCACAACACAGGGGCGCAAAGCAAATCACAAGACGTGTAACCAAAGAGCTGCTCAAGGTTCCGGATCTTGCAACTCAATTGATCGAATTAGGAAAAGAGCGACGAATCGACCGACTTTCCAATGGACTATGTCTTTCCCTTGTTGACAGAATAAGTAAAAGCGGAGAGGTTCAAGGTCTTCCAACCATCGAAAAGATTGTGGAACATGGTCTTCTTAGCGATGCGCAAACTTCTGTGGTTGTGAAGCATCTACTGCTGGTGGCGCATCGTGTTGATGATGCTACAGATTCCGAGAAGAACACTCGAGCGCATCTCGCATCATCTCTTGTTGCGCTAACACAACTTTCTGGTCACGTAGGGACTGTTATTCAAGGTGCATTAAAAGAGACGGATGTTGATATGGATGAATTAGAGCTGAAGCTCTCCACCACAATTAGGCGAATAGAAGCAGCAAAAGAGGCAGATGAAGATGTGGTAATGGGAGATGATGATACGAAAACAGAATCTCGACCCGATTTCCGACAACTAATTGAAAAGCTTCCACAAAGCAGTGATAAGGAGACCTCGTTCTTAGCGCATGGTGCTTCCCGCATCTACCAAGATTTGTGTCAAGCATTTTTGGTCGCCGCAGTTAATGCCGGCGACTTGGATGTATTTGATGAGCTACCTATCATGAATCGCGCAAGTGCCCTGGAAAAAACTCTATATCTCACATTTTATATTAGGATTTGGTGCGGCCCTTATCCGGTCATGGCCCGAGTTTCTGCACTTCACTTGGTTGCTCGATACTTATCAGGACATGACAATGCAAGCGTGGATATCCAAGGAATCATACCATATGTGATTTCAGCGCTGGCGGATCCTGCGCCTAAGGTTCGTCGTGCCGCAGCAGAGCTAATCCTCAAAATTGAGACGTTTTACCCGGCTGGCGCAATCACAAAGAAAGCTTCTAGCTCCCGACAACAATGGGCATTCGACGATATCTATGGCCCAGGTGAAGAAACTCGAGAGACGAAATGGTTGTCAATTGATAACGCTACTCGTCTTTTGAGAGAGGTTTTAGTTCCAGCTTTAGAAGAATGTGTTCTCGATAAAACCCACATTGAGTCTGTAGTGGAACAGTCTTTGAATAGTCCTCGTGCTTCTGCAGAGTCCAACAAGAAGAATGAAGTACGCTTGACTCAAACTACGCGCGCCTCGATTTTGTCATTCCTATCCAGTCACGTCATTCACACACCTGTATATCCGGTCAAACTCAGACTTCTTGTCATTCTCAATCACGTTCGTAGCATTGCTAGCACTACTAGAACCAAAGTTCTACTTCCAGTACTTGAACAATGGGCATCCCTCAGTCCAGAAGTAGCATTGCAACACTCGAAAGATGAACAATTTGCCATGGCAGACTTCGATAAACAAGCAGCTGCGACCGTTGTGGCTAATGACAAAGAAGGCTTGCAATTCTTCACTCAAATTGTTCACGGCGAAATTGCTTCGGGCCGCCCTACCCTTCTTGAGGCCGTATTTGCAAGACTGCGTGAGATGTGGACGTCTTTGAAGGGTGATGTGCAGCTGCAGACAGCTCAAATGTTGATGGACGCTTCCCAATCTTCATCTGAGGGATCTATCAAATCAGCGGAAGAAGCTTTAGAACTCCTGCGAAACGCTCCTCTTTCAACAGAAATTCTTCTTTCTTTCCTCGATCAATTGCCCACGACGGCGAAACTTACAGATGCTCCACCTGCAAGTAAAAAACGGCGTACTAGCCACGGCGAAGTTGCTAGAACTTCTTTACAGGACCCCAAACAACTTGCGGCTGCTATACGCCAAGTTACATTTGTTTTGCAACTCATCGATACTTCTGATCCAGGAAACCATCCAGAACTTCTCAAGGGTCTTTTTAACACCTTGGCAGAACTTCAGCACTTCAAGGTTCAAGTTTCATCCGAACTTGCATATCTCCAAGATTTAGTTTTGAATAGCCTACTATCAATTCTGAAAGCACACAAGGCCAACCCAGACATGGAGTTAGACCATTCTGATATCCGAGCCGATTTACTTGTCGATTGCGTCCAGAAAACAGCCAGTCCACAGGTACAGAACGGTGCTTTATTGATGATTGCTGCACTTGCAGACATCGCACCAGAAGTTGTGCTCCACAGTGTTATGCCCATCTTTACCTTTATGGGAAGCTCAGTACTAAGACAGAATGATGATTATTCTGCACATGTCATTAGTCAAACCATTCGTGAGGTCATTCCACCTCTTATCACCTCGCTTCGAAAAGACAAAGGCAACCCCGTTACAGGGGCTGCTGAGTTGCTCTTGAGCTTTGTTGCGGCGTATGAGCATATTCCTGTGCACCGTAGAAAGGGATTGTTTATTTCTTTGGTCCAAACTCTCGGAGCAGAAGATTTCCTATTCGCGTTATTAATCATGTTGGTGGATAAATATGGTGTCAGCGATGATATTAAATCCTTCTCTGCGGAGCTGACCAATGCATTCAGCGTGGAGGTTCAACTTCAGTCTGCAATTAAATACCTCGAGCTGATTGATGATCTCTTGGCTCCCCAGCCAACATTTTCGCTGATTCTACTGGGAGCTCACGAGAAGATTGACCCACAACGTGCAGCTCTCCATGAACTCACGCTTCTTCCGCACATACTCTCGCAACGACGATTGATTACACAAACTGCAAAACTTCTTGATCGAGACGATATGGACGCTGCTAGAATTCGCGAGCTCTACTCCACTTTACTGGAAAACTTGTTGGTCTTGACAGAATCCCTAAAAGACAAGAAGGCAATGCACAATACTTGTGGAGACATTCTAGAAAGTATTTTGGGTCTCCTTTCCACAAGCGAATTTGTCAAATCAGTCGAAGGACTCTTGGATAGACCTAATGAGGACTTGCGACGAAAGATTTTGCGCTCTTTACAGGTTCGCATCGACCAGGAAAGCGCATCAGATGCCGTTTCAAGAGTTGCAATGCTTGGGTTCTTACCCCAGCTTACCTCAATCATTCGAGAGTCTACTGACATGCCTTATAAGCGTACTGCTGTGGCTTGTGTTGAGAAAATCTCAGAGAAATATGGAAAAAAGGATCTCGAAGCTGTGTCTGCAGCAGCAGAAACCATTGCAAGTAATCATTGCTTGGGCCAGAGTGATGCTGGCTTGCAAATTATGGCTCTTCTGTCCTTAGCTTCTTTGGTAAAGATTTTGCGAGAAGGTATAGTTTCTGTGTTGCCTGTTGCCATTCCAAAGGCTTTGGAGTACATCAAATCAAGCATCGAAGACACTGTTGAGGCTCAGAAACTCCACAACGCTGGATACACTTTTATAAGCGCTCTCGTACAACACCTTCCATACATGATTACAGGCGGATATCTCGATACCCTTTTTTCAATCTCGAACAACTCAGCAGAGGCTGAGCTCGAAGACGAGGCAGATGAAATCAGAGAAAATTGTCTTCACTTGGCTGCAAAGCGTGTGGATGCTAAGAGTATGTTCGTTGCCTTGGAGAAGAACTGGGCGCAAGCAGTAACGGCAGGAACTTGGGTAAATCTTCCATTACTGTTCTTAGAAGTTTTATGAATACTTACTAATTTAAATAGGCTATCCGTGAGCAACTTGAGATGCTTAGCATGTCAATCAAAGCTCATCCAAAGAGTGTTGTCTCCAAACATTCCACTGTACTTGCAAAGATATTCCAAAACGCGTTCGATCTTCGAAGACACTTGTCTAACGCGGATGATTATGACCAAGGCGACGAGACTATTTCAGAAATAGAAGGACAGGTGAACGAAGTCGCTTTAGAGATGATCTACAAGTTCAACGATTCGACATTTAGACCTATATTCTCCAACCTGGTTGAATGGGCGTCAACATCATTGCCCAAGAAAGATAAGTCTGGCAGAAACCTGCGTTTGCAGAGTGTTTACGGGTTTATGGCCGTTTTCTTTGGCAACCTCAAGTCAATCGTCACAAGCTATGCCACGTACTTGCTTGATAATGCCGTATTGGTCTTGAAAGAGACCGATATTAAGAATGACGCTTCGAGAGAATTATGGACAAGAGTTCTTCGAGCTTTGATACCATGTTTCGAGCACGACCTTGATGACTTTTGGCAATCTCCAGCTCATTTCAAGGCAATCGCTCATGTCTTGTGTGATCAATTTGGGAACGCCTCCGGATTACCTTTGATCGATGAACTTGTTCCCGCTATCGTTGAACTTGCTGCTGCCGCTGATTCGTCGGATCATCATAAGGAACTCAACGGGATGATCTTAAAGCATTTCCGCTCAGAAGTATCTAGTGTTAGACTCGCAGCAGTCAAGTGCGAGCAAGCGTTGACGGATAGATTGGGAGAGGAATGGTTGGCTATGTTACCAGAAATGTTGCCATTCATTAGTGAGCTCCAAGAGGATGATGATGAGATAGTAGAGAAGGAGACGAATCGCTGGATTGTTAAGATCGAGGGGGTGTTGGGAGAGAGTCTGGACTCCATGCTTCAATAAATGTAGATATACCTGAACAAAAATAACGGAGTTATCTTGGAGCTCAAATAGTTTATTTAGTTGAGTTTTAATGAATGGATAATCATACCTGATGACAACATTTTAATCTTACATTGTTACCATTGATGAAGTGGATGCCTTTTCACCATTGCTGGATGATGAAGTGATTGGTTTAGTCGATGTCACGTGTAGGCGCGTATCAAAAATTACGCGACAAAACACGAATCTTATAACCATCGCGTCTCAGCATTTACCCTGCTTTCAACGAATGTCAAAATAAATGTTCAAACCATTCCGGCCTCCACTCTTAAAAAGTGCGCCAAAACCTTCTAAGCCGGTCGATGAGTTCTCAGATATCCAGGTCATATCAGATTCTGAGGAAGAAATTCTGACTAAACCGGTGGCAAAGAAGAGGGCGGCTTCTGATTCACAATGTTGAAGAGGCTCCAAAATTAAAGCTCCGATTGCATCTTCGGCTGCCAATGCGCCTCGAAAACCTTTGATGGTTGTAAAGAATCCTGTCGAAGCAACTCAAGCCTCTACTTCATCAGAAAATCCAACCAGCATTGACGGATACTATTTGGTATTATGGTGAGTGTTTGCCCTCCCCTCCCCCCTTCTGCTCCGAAATCATATTAATGAGTTCCACAGGCGCAAATTCACAATGAAGAAACATAAGACCTGGAATGGGGATGGAGTACTCGCAGTCACCGGAGGGTACGCTCGACTTCAAAATATTGATGGCAGAGACATGGGTCGCTGCATGTATAATGAGCCTTTGTTACCCGGCAGTACATTGAGCATTGGAGGGAAGGATGTTGAGATTGATGCAGCCATTACAAAGGCAGATTTCCTTTCTGGCCGACACTTTTTAAATAATGGTGGTAAATCTACTACAGCAGACAGTCACAGCAGTCCAGCCGCACGACCTCCGCCTAATTCAACCCTATCAAATATATCGAAAAACAATTCTACGAGCACACTTGGGAAGAGAAAGGATAGTGGCTTAGGCTCGGCAATTCCTGCCAAAAGTTTTTATGCCTCTGCTCCGAAAAGTGATGCAGTCAAATCCCATTTCAAGAATCCTCTTCTAACAACGACAATCATGCCACAGAACAAAAGCGGTGCGCCAACTCCCCGGCATGATCCCTCTGCACCAGGGGCGATTGTAATGCAGCGGCCCAATCCAAAGTTTGTTGCGAAAGGCAAGCAAGTTGTGGATGTTGTTGTCGATCCCTTCTTGGGTCGCCATCTACGTGATCATCAAAAGGAGGGAGTTAAGTTTTTGTATGAGTGCGTTATGGGCTACCGTTCCTTCAATGGCCAGGGTGCAATCTTAGCTGATGAGATGGGCCTTGGAAAGACACTACAGACAATTGCGCTGTTATGGACGTTATTGAAGCAAAATCCGGAGCACCCACACGAGGGGGGCGTCATAAAGAAGGCCTTGATCGTCTGTCCTGTGACTCTTATCTCTAATTGGAAAGCAGAATTCAACAAGTGGCTCGGTAATGAAAGAATAGGCGTTTTCGTTGCAGATGGATCCAAAAACATTCGACTTACTGATTTCACTCACGGCAAGAGCTATAGCGTCATGATCATCGGATACGAAAAGCTACGCACAGTGCAGGAAGAGTTAAAGAAAGGAGGTGGAATAGATATAGTCGTAGCTGATGAAGGGCATCGCTTGAAGACTGCTGCGAACAAATCGGCGCAGGCAATCAAGAATTTGAATACTGAGAGACGAGTCATTTTATCTGGAACACCCATACAAAATGATTTATCAGAGTTCTTTACAATGGTGGACTTTGTGAACCCCGGTCTTCTCAATGGCTACAATACTTTCAAAAAATGTTTCGAGGCCCCAATCTTGAAAAGCAGACAACCAGGGGCTACAGAGAGCGACATGGAGAAGGGAACGGCCCGAGAAGAGGAGTTGGCGGAGTTGACAAAGTTATTCATATTACGTCGAAACGCCAGCATACTTGCAAAATATTTGAAGCCAAAGATAGAATATGTACTGTTCTGCAAGCCCACTCAAGCTCAGGCTGAGGTATATCAGCATGTTCTAGCCTCTCCGGTATTTGGCAGAGTCCTTGGCAGCTCAGAGGCCTCTCTACAGCTTATCACTATGCTTAAGAAGGTTTGCAACGCTCCGAGCCTCCTTGTCAAAAAGAACGATACAGATACGCCTAGCAATTCAAACGTTGCTCAGCTTTTAGAAAGCATACCTCCCGAGATTCTCAAGAAAAATCCAGTTGTGGCCAGCAGTAAATTCAGAGTTCTAAATCGTATGCTTCTGCGGCTTTCGAAGTCAACTACCGAAAAGATAGTTCTTGTCTCCAACTATACTTCTACTCTGGACCTGCTAATGTCGCACCTTTCGTCATTGAATTTACCTTTTCTGCGCCTTGATGGTAGCACTCCTCAGGCAAAGCGACAGGATCTGGTAAATACGTTCAACAAGACACCTGCATCAAAATATTTTGCCTTTCTCCTTTCAGCTAAATCCGGCGGTGCTGGTATAAACCTAATTGGAGCATCACGCCTCGTATTGTTTGACGTTGACTGGAATCCTGCTACTGACCTTCAAGCCATGGCACGTATCCACCGCGACGGGCAAAAGCGTCCAGTCAAGATATACAGGTTTCTAATGTCGGGAGGTATGGATGAAAAGATATATCAGCGACAAGTTACTAAGATGGGGCTCGCCGACAGTGTCATGGATGGCAAGAAGAACGAAGCAAGTTTTTCAGCCGATGAGTTACGAGATCTCTTTAGATTAGATGTAAATGCGCAATGCCAAACTCACGAGCTCCTGGGTTGTGAATGCGGAGGAGTTGGTCGCGAGGAGCCAGTTTTATCATCATCTGAGATCCCGGAACCCAATAAAGAGATCAGCGCGGGCGAAGAGGATGAAGAAGACGATGATGATGAATTCCCTATCAATCCAGCTTGTTCACTGGTGCCAGCAACTAAAGCAAATGTGGAGGCCCAGCAAAAAATTGCTCTTGAAGCCATTAAAGGAAAACGATCCAAGAAAGGAAAGAAGATGCAAGCGTTAATGGAGTATAGACACATTGATACTTCGATGTTCCACGTTAAATCGGCGGATTCGATTGCAACAGAGGTAAACGACGTAAAACAGTCCCTAGATGACGACGTCTTACTTTCGGTTCTAGAGGATGAAAGATGTAAAGTTTGCTATGTTTTTGCTAAGGAAGGATAGAAATGATATCAAGATAAGTATTTGGGTGGGGATAAACATTGATTTGCATTGCTAGGCGCCATAGGATTGGTTTCAGATCTGGCATACGGGAGTTTGCGCTGGGAATCTTAGATACGTGATGATGCTGATGGTGCTGTCGGTGTCGAACTTCTGGGAAGACTGTAGAATGAAGTCAAGGTGATTAAGAACGGAATTGGCTTGGTGTAAATATTCATCAATATAAATAGCTTAATATATGATAAATAACCCCGATTTACACTTCATGCAGCTCATACTATTATTTCATTGAGGGCCACATCTGGAATGTATAAATAAATCCTTTATAAATCCTTTCTTCGATATCTTTCTCTGTCCAGATTTCACCTGAATTTAAAGTTCGTTTTAAGAGTTTCGATTGGTGGGGAGCTTCAAACTATACCAATCGTAGCTAGCCTCTCTTTCTCCAGTGATGACTGAAGTTCGAGCCACATCTCAAAAGCTCGAGAGCCAAAAAGTCGAAACGTATGATAACACATCTTCTTTCGAAGAACAATCAACTTATAAATTTCTTTCATGTCCTTCCTTCGCTAGATACATTGTCGCAAACAACATTTGGAGGGGAGAGTTGAATTGAAATTCTAATTTGCGTGCAATTTCACTTTAAAAGAAAGGTCTTGAAGGCCAAAAAATAATTTCAAGATGAGTGGAACGGATTATTCCTACGATGAACAGGTATGGAACTTTTGCGCATATAGCACAAGGAGGTCAGCTAACATTTTGCAGGGACAATTTTTCCCTATCTTCGTCGGTACACTCGTTGGAATCGTATCTACAGCTTTGACTTGGGACGTTTTAAGACCCAGATCAGATCCAGGCGCCACAGCGCCCCGAATAAAGACGGATTACAAGCCAGAACATGCGGATCTCATCGATAGTCAAAGGAGGGCACAGAGAAGAAAACAGAGAAAGATAAAACGCATGATTGCCATGGTTGTGGGGTGGGCGATAGTAGCTCTTATGGCATACCAATTTCAAGTTACAGCCAGAACTGTAGCAAAAATCTGGAATCCATATGATATCTTAGATATCAAAGAGGTAATGTGGCTCTAAACATGTCTTTTTGATATTGGCTAATTTCGCAACAGTCCGCTACTGAAAAGGAAATCAAATCACACTACAAAAGACTTTCGTTGAAATTCCACCCTGATAAGATCAGACCTGACCCAGCTAAAAACCAAACAATCGAATCATTGAACGACTACTTCGTAGAGCTTACAAAGGCATACAAGGCACTTACTGATGAGGAGATCCGAAACAACTATATACAATTTGGACATCCTGATGGCAAACAGAGCTTTAGCATCGGAATTGCTTTGCCCACCTGGATCGTCTCTGAAGGAAACGGAAAATACGTCGTACTTGTCTATGCGCTTCTTTTGGGAGTTTTACTTCCTTACCTTGTCGGAACCTGGTGGTATGGCACTCAGCGCATGTCAAAAGAGAAGGTCTTGATTGAAAGTGCCAACAACTTGTTCCAAGAATATCAAGAGAGCATTACCGAGGGTGGAATTGTTGGTGCTTTAAGCAGTGGTGTTGAATACAAGAAAATTTTGAAAGGCCACAAAGCTGATTCGGGACTTGGCAAATTGGAATCAAGGGTTCTTGCAGAAGGAGATGGAATCACTGCTGCAGCGGGCTTGTCAGCCAAGGACAAAACAAAGCTAGAGGATTTAGATGGCGGTGCCCGACGAAAGGCTCTTGCATTACTATGGGCATACTTGGGCCGAACTGAACTTGAAGACTCTGAACTCAACAAGGCAAAATACGAAGTTGCTCCTATCGCTCATGACCTCAACAATGCATTCACAGCTATCACTCTCGCTTTCACAACTACTGGCCCTATTCTTGCATCATACGCGACTGCTCAAAACATCGTTCAAGCTTTACCACCGAATGCCTCGCCCCTTCTTCAATTACCATATATTACCCCAGCTATCGCAAAGGCAATTGAAGGCGACTCCAAAACTCATTTGACCCTTCAGCAATATATGGCACTACCAAACGCATACCGAAAGAAGTTGAGTGTTGGAAATGGGCTTCTCACAGAAGCTCAATATAAAACGGCCATGTCTACTGCAAAGCAACTTCCTCGTTTACAGGTTGAGAAGGCATTCTTCAAGGTTACAGGCGAAAAGTTTATCACCCCTAGCTCATTGGTATCCTTTGTTGTCAAAGGGCGATTTATCCCTCCTGGAAGCGAGAACGTTCCTAAGGTTAACGAACTCGATTTGGAAGATATTGACCCAGACGAGGATGATCTTGATGCCATCCTTGGCCGCGCGAAGAAGTCTGCCAAGGGCGAAAAGGCCGAAAATAAGCAGATCTTCCCACCTCTTGCATTCGCCCCCTACTTTACACGTGACCATTCGCCAAAATGGCATGTTTTCCTCACCGATAGCAAGCAAGGCAAGATTGCGGTACCACCTTTCACATTCTTTGCCTTCGACAAACCCATATTTGATGAAAGTGGAAAACCTACTTTCAATATGCAAACGCTTAAGGCACAGTTCCAGGCTCCCCCACAACCCGGAAGCTACACCTTCGTCATGCATCTCATCTGTGATTCATATGTTGGATTTGATACCAAGCTTGAAGCTACACTTGTCGTGGAAGATGCAAGCAAGGCTATGGAAATCGATGCAGAGGACGATATCAGTGAACCGGATGAAGGTATGTTAAAATCTCAGTATTATCATTTTTTAATTGAGTTCGTACTAACAAAATCTATAATAGATTCCCTAGCAGGACAGATGCAAGCCATGAAAACTGGTGTCCCGCCACCCAAAAAGAAGAAGCAGGTAGCTCGAGACTCGAGTGATGAGGATAGCAACACCGAAGAAGAAGTTGATGAACAGAGTGAAACGGATACAGATACAGATACTGATGGGGAATAATGAGTCACGCTTCTAAATCTATATCATGAATTCATTCTGAAGCGGATTTCCAACACTTACTCTTTTACGCTTATCTGACTGATTCTCTTGGGTGTTCGGGATTATTTCTTTATTGGGGGAAACTTTATCTTGTGTACTTGTACAAAATAGGCGTGATGAGCATTTTGGGTTGGCGTTGTATGTTATACACATAGCTTGTTGTGTGCGACTGTAGCTTTGCTTGGAGTAGAGCAGAACAGAAATGCAATGAATTGAATTGGAAATTCCGATTATGAAAGAATGAATACATTTAACCTTCTTATGTTCATTCCAAGCACATCATCCATTTACATCCTTAAAATATATGTAAACCCATTTGTCTCTAGTGTTTTCATAGTGCAAATGATGTGAAGCATAAGATGAAAGTGACACAATTGAAATTAGTCTACATGAATATTTCGACGCGTGATTCAATCCTTTCCTTTTCCTTCTTTCCTTGCTTTCTGGCACCAATACCAGCATCAAATGCAGATCCAGATGAGGATTCAAGACTCCAAACTCCTACACGCCGATCTAGAACTCCCATCTTGGCGCTCCTTTTCTTCTTCCTATATAAAGACGAAAAGAAAGGGGGTTTAAATGAAGTACAGCTATCACAACTCTACCAATCCATCTCTCACCATCCCAGTTCCAATCCAAACTACCCCCAGCTCATAATCCCCCTAACAAATCCTCACACCACAAATATCCACTCCCCTCCCTTCAATCTTTGCCTTCCTCCCAAAATATTCTCTTACGATTTCCTCTACAAACGTATAGTCGCCTGCGCTCCATACATCGAGACCCATGCGTTCCATATCTGCACTACTGATGTATACACAGCTCAGTCCATCTCCTTCTTCTTCCTCCTCTTCTAAAGAGGAATTGTCGGTTGCGTCTCCTCCTCTACCGCCACCACCAGAATTGTTGCGATTTCCTCTATTGATTAATGGCGAAGAAGAACTGTGTGAATGTATTTGATCATCTTCTCTTTCATCGTCCGAATCACTCGCATCAATAATATCACTCAAGCACGTAAGGATCTGCGTAGTAAAACGATGGAAATAGGCAATGATACCCATCTCCGTTTCCGCCGTCATCATCCCACTCGCATTGAAACCTAACGGGGTAGGGAACGGATTTGGCGTGTGAGGAGAGGATAGAAGTGCCGAATCAGCTTCCCATTCTTCTTGAGAATGGAGGCGCTGTTCGCCCGCTGAAGCCCACCATATGAATCCGGAATATGCGAGCGCAGCCCAAGAGACGGGCTCAATGATAGAGTCTGTATCGGAGATATCGAGATTGGGATCGTCTCGGGGAGGAAGAGTAGCAGTAGAGGTGTCAAGGGTGGTAGGGGAGGGAAATTGCTCGAAATAGGAGGTGGTGGATGCGCGGCGCGAGGTGCTTATGTCTGGAGAGGCGGGCTGGGGGGTTCGGGATAGACCCCACCGGAGGGCTTTGTAACGGCGTAGATCACGTTGGGTGGCTTTTAGTTCGATGCCGCCAGGCGATAATTCGATTTTGGGCCAGACTTTTGCGGTGGATGTGGAGGCGTGGGGTGGTGGCATGGTTATGAGGATATCGTAGAGATGGGTTTTGGTAGCAAGAATACTGTCGGTTGTACACGCTATCCAACCACAGCCAGGCTCATCGCGCCCTTCAGTCTGAACGGTATCTTCGGAGGCGGCTCTTCGTTTCGAGGCTTTGAGGTCATCTTCGAGGAGGGGTATATCGTGAACACCGATTGAGAAAAGGGGTCGAAGTCTTTGTGGTGGTGCAGTTGGTTCTAGTAGATCGCTGACTGCAAGTGGGATATTTGATAGAATGGATATGTCATACACTGTTTGACATTAGTTGACGTAAGAACTGCATAGAAAGGCTTTCTAACCAAAATCGCATGTCTCATGTACAGGCGCATGCGCACTGATCAAAATCCTCCTCCGTAAAAGTGCAGCTCTATGTATTGGGAATATCATAGGGCCAAATGTGTCCAAGAGTCTTGGTAAGCTCCAAGCAGGGTGATATACCGACAATGTGTGTCCAGGGGGTATTAAAGCTGTGCCATCGGAAGCTGAACGATCTCTATTGTGACCTTTTGCTTTCGGTGGTGTATTCCGAGCTTTGGATCTAGCACTTGACGGAGAATCTAGTGGTGAGTCGGTGTCTTTACTTTTCCCCAGATCATCGCCTTTGTGACTCTCCCAAAATCCCTCAAGTCGCTCCGTCTTGCTCTCGTCAAGTATAAGCTCGCTGAAAAGAGCGTCAGCAGGTATCACATCAATTGGTCGCGGAGTCATACCTTGCGAGATCCTTCAAGCTCTCAGCATGCTTCCAGCTCCTGCCCAACCTTCCATAACTCAAAGGCACCATGATACCTACAGCAATCATCCTCGCATTCCTCGAACTTTTATCCGCAGGCGCGTTGACGAATGCGCTGAGTCCTGCATAATTATCATGGGTGAAGTATATAAGATCCTCTTCCACTGTATGTAAGCCCGACGGCAGACTCCTATATTCAACCACTCCATCTAATTCAATGCCTGGTAATGAACGTTTCCATCCAATTGTATAGCCAGCCTTGATATCGAAATATATCATGAATAGTGCCGAGAGGGGTGGGAGATCGGCAGTGATGTTACTAATTTCGATGTTCAATGGATCTTCTCCTCGACGTTGGGCTGCCATCGCATATCCAAAGAAATGGGATTTATGTGTGAGGAATGAATATAGATATGCCCTCGATTGAGGGTAAAGATATCTTGAGAAATATGGATGTTGTGCTGTGCATTATTCGACAGTAACTCTTAGGTAGAATGACGATGTTTGGGATGTTTGGGGTTTAATTGTGGGTGATGAATAAACCCTTGTCCTTGTTCATTTTAAGTTTGAGCTTGCATGTTACACGTAGGACTCCAGAATGAAAGGGAACATCACATTCATCACATTCATCACATTACATCGAGGTAATCGTGGAGAAATCTCAAACATAGATCGAAAATAGAGTCACGTAAATATCCGCACTTTGTATGGCCACATTTTCTTATCTACAACGATATTCATCTTTCTAGTAATGCGGGCTTAGGTGTATTCAAGCATCTGAGGGATGTCCATGTATATCTTTATCATATGAGGATATATTGCAATATCACAGGTCAACGGCGTCGATCACTATTGGTGAATAACTCCCTGGTCGAATCTCTACCCCTCTCTCTACTCATGAACCTGACTCATATACAGACGACTATCATCTGAAGTGCAGTAGTATGAGAAGATCTTACCCTACATAGGTAGCCTTTCCAATATCATGTACCTCCAGCTACCTACGTAGGTGAACATAGAAGCACTTGGAGATCAAGGCCATTATTAGTTGCAAGTTTCCTCAAGTTTATACTTTATACTGCTTCGCGGTTGTATTGGAGCAGAGCTACATGTCCTTGATAGATTCATGATGTTCAGCTATCTTCCTTTCTTGTCCTCGTCGTGTTGAATGACATTGTTTAATCAATCGACTGTTCTTTTCTTTGAGATCACCTCTGAATATAGCTGAGATCACGTTTTTCCAAAGCTACAACACGGTTTAAAAAACAAGTTACAGTATTGTATATCAACTTCATCTTTGGCAGCTCAATTACATGCTTTGGCATGTGCAGATGAAGACCATGTATGAATGTTATGTTTCATTATGTATACATCATGTACCGTCTTCATTGTTGCCATAGCAATCTTTTAAATCATGCCCCCATCCATGGGAGTTGTGATCTCGAATCTGCTCGAAGGTCAAAAAGACGCGGGGGCTGTGCCGTTTCTTGTTTGTCCTTTTGTTTAGAACAATCACGCCAGAACGTTCTGTTGTCGCCATCTTCAAGTTAGTACCCTTCTCGGTAAATTAAAGCACCTTCATAACATGGCATAGCACAAGGACAGTAGAAGATACACACCTTGATAGTTCTCATCCCAATTATCAACAACATCCAGATTCACTTTCCACATCAAGATCACCACGTACCAAATTCGAGAGCATGTGGGTAACACCTGCGATCTGATCTCTTTCAAATCAAGCGCGCCTCGAGAGTGAATTGAAGTCTGCAAATAATTTCACATATCAGGTCTCTGTTATCTTCCTTTTGCAACAATCTTCTTCCGATCTGTCTTCTTTACGCATATTTCAACAACAAGAATTCGAATATCTACAACAGAAAGCTGCAAAGGTTTTAACGCTATAACTCCTACAATGGCAGGTGAAATGCTTCATTCACTTAGTCCAAAGTCGATCAAAAGAGGAATCTTACAGAACCTCCAAAAGTTGTCTGTTGTGAGTTTTTTCCACCCCCTTCCCCCTCCCCCCTTCTTCCCCTTCAAAGGTACCACCAGAAAATGCTCGGATGCTTCATATCCTTGCGAATCTCGGCCAGGTCTTCCAAAATTACAGCAGTGATTGCAAATCAAACCAGAAATGATATCAAGATTGTCGATGTTGTGGTCCAAAACTGTATTACTACCATCAATTCCTGTATCCCACAAACCACAAACATTTCTAATTATTATTCTAGCGAAAGCAAACAACAAATTCGCCACTACCAAATGATGGCTCGAACTTCATCATAGCACCAGCAACATTCCCGCTCACTGATGATTATCATGATTACTTAAGCTTCACCATGGGTAGAGAATCAATCTATGCTTCGGCAGCTAATATTATGGGCAATAAATCAATCTATGCTTCAACAGTCGACACCATTGACACTCCACCTTTAACACCTCCAATTTCTGAATCGCCAATTTCTGATTCACCACTTCCCGGAACTCCAGTCCTAGAACTTCAGCAATTATCTTGGCCCTTACCAGAAACCCTCCCAAGAATGTTCCTCCGCTCCTCAACCCTGACAACCTTCAGCCTTTTCCCCTTTCTCCCTAAAGAATTGCGCGTCAAAATCTGGAAATTTGCGGCCTGCCACCCCCGCATTGTACACCTCACCTATGACCACCCAACAGAGTCACTCGTTTCGCTTAGCCCCATTCCTGTACTTCTCTCTACCTGCGGCGAAGCGCGCGATGAACTCCTCCCTCTCTTCAAACAGTTGGCTCTCCCTCCCTCAGCATGTGGAGCTAAAATTTACGTAGATCTCGATGTCGATACTGTTTATATTCGACGAGCTGGAACTTCGATTGAAGACGTGAGTCCTTATACTAGTAATTTCACGACTACCAAGGCGATCTTTGGGGCCAATGATTCGGCGGCTCGTCATCCATTGAGTGATGTTAAGCATCTTGCAATCGATTCTTCACTTATTGATTCACCAATCGAACTTCGTCTTCTCTGGGGTGATTGGAATCATCGTTCTAAGCCCTCGGATTTAAAACTAAGGGAGCTAGAAACCCTTAAAATTGTTTATGCGCCCATTTCTAAAAGACCTGAGTTGAGAAGGATTCGAGGACATCCGCAGATTAGTTGCGATTGGGAGAATAATGGTGTTGAGAGTTTCACCATCTTATCAAGAGAAGACAGATGGGAGCGTCGTCATTATTCTATTAATTACGGAGGATGGATGACAGAACCTTCCTTTTCTCCTCGAGTCTTCAATTATAGACAAGGAGTCTTTGTGCACCAGGACCCGGACTTCTTGAGCAGAGTTCATGTTTGCGATAATGATGGGGAAGGAATGGGAGAGAAGTATTTCGACTGTCCGGGTTGTCATGAATACATGAGTTTGGGCGCGTATAGAGCGTATATGAATATGATGGAACGCGATGTTGTGGGTTGGAAAAAACCAGAGTTTGATGGAGTTGTGTATGAGAGGGAGACGGAGAGAGATATGGAGTATTATTCGTGGGGTTGATGTTAATGTTGATTCTGTTTTAGGATTTGAGAGAGAGCAAGGGGGGGTGGCTTTGAGGACGAGGATTGGGACTTGGGACGATGGCTGTGGACTGATATTAGGGATACAAGGACTTCGACGGTTTGTAAGATTATATTGTCTTTTGCGGATTTTCACTTGTTGCACAAAAGTTTCATTGACAAAGGATTTGATAGACGGATCGATAGAGAGAGAGAGAGAGAGAGAGAGAGAGAGACTCATGAATTGATTCTCCGTACGATTTACGACTTTACGAAAACATAGGCGTTGGAGCGAGGATACTTCAACTGTTTATACATATTACACATGTTACATATGTATAGATGGAACGATTTGCGCTTTCACCCCTACACTTACTACGGAATTACAAATCACGATAGTGCAGGAAATTCTGCAGGTTCCAGGAGGATATACAAGATGTATCTTACCTAGAGACAGAGAGAGAGGTTCATAGGATACAGAGAAAATGTAATGGTTAATTCTGCTGCTTGCAGCAAGATAGTGAGGGAATTCATATTCTTGGTGTACATAGCTCTTTCCATAGAAGAATGCATTGGGTTTCATTACTTACTTTTTGTATGCTGGTGTGTTGCTGATGTTTGGCATTTGTTTTGTTATGAGTGTCATTTGGTACGGTGATATGAGAGATGGTGATTTATGTTTTGATCATCTTGATATTATGGGATGAAGGAAGAGTTTTTTAGTGAATACTGAATGATAGTGTCTTAGATGACTTATCTTTCATCTCATCAGCGCTTGGAAAAATTTAGAATGGCTTTGTTGGATTTGCTTGCTCATTCTATGGTGCACACAGAGGGAGTCCTTTTACTTTCCAGACAGCCTTTGTTGCTTTCCCATATCTCAGAGCGCAGTTCTTCAAAGATAGAGCGCTTAAGTCTTTTACCACCCGGTAATCAATGAGACGAGAATGATAGAACTTGATTTGGAAATAGTAATATCCGCACCCCAAGAGCCGGTCGATGAATAGTATACGTAATGGCAATAACCGTGATAGATAGATAGATATCATTCCCAGAAACTTACCCATAACTACTTTCCGAGCAAGATTATCTTTCGAGACAAGAATAGAGCGATCGTTATCTACTGTGCATTATTCAAGTAAAGTCACTAGCTTGAAGCTTCATTGTCGTACAGTTTGGTGTGACCTCATGGGCTGGCTTATATTTATCCCTCAAGCTCGTAGAGTACACACTTGAAGATATCGAAGATAAAGAAAGGATTGGCAAGATTATATAGCTTAGGTAGATTGAGGCAGGCTCCTTCTGGAGAGCTGGAGGGGTATGATAGGGAGGTATCTGATTTGTACCGGTTTCAAATGTGTTAATAGTACTTCTGGAATCGACAATCATTGCCTGACATGATTTGATTGTTTGATAAAGCTGTTGTCGAATAGTGTTTTAAAAGAGGATTGAATACTGTACATAGAATCCGGTGATTTTAATAAAGAGATTTATAGATGAGATTATGAGGAGGATAGTAAGAAATATGTGGAACTTCAGTATTATTTCGTCTGGAATCAAGGATTGATGGTTCATATTTATGTATGATTTCCCCAATTCACTTCTTGCAAACCCGCAAGATAAATAAATCCCACGAGAATACATAGACTTTCCGCTATTCTCAATGCCAATCCGTGAGCGATGAGGTTCCCGAGATCCCCAGTACCTAAATACTTGAAGTCATATATATAACTCGCCCTTGAGCTTTTATCATTATCTCCACGATTTAGCACGCTTAAGTGTTTCACAATTATCTTTTTCAACATCGCTATCGCCAACATGTCTTTCTCATAACAATCTCAACTTAATCTCCATTAGTGTTACAACAATAATATCATAATCCACTTTTCACAAATGAATTTCTTTGGCGACATTCAAGACAACACTGATCATTTCTAACCCTTTCGCTCCTTGCCGGAAACGTTATCTTTGATGATATACCTAAATCTAATCGCCCCTCGCCCCCTCCCCGTAGCTCTCTTCTACCCAGCCGAGCCAGCCCAAGTTCCGCTCGCTACATGTATCACATCCCGCCCCACCTACCACTCTCCACCCCTGTCTGTACTAAGCACATATTATAATATATATTTAAATGTCGGAGTCCTCAACAACAATAGCACAACATCTTTGATGGTCTAACGGTCATGATTTCCGCTTGTCAATAACATTGCAAGTCGCGGGAGACCGGGGTTCGACTCCCCGTCAGAGAGTTCAGCACAGAATTCCTTGAATCTCATGTTCAAATTCTTTTTTGACATTTTCTTGGGATCTCTGTGATCTTTTTTTGTTGTTGTGGCAGTCTTTTTGCTAGCCGAGGCAATTGACACGTGATTGATATATTAATCCGGACCGATATTCGGGGGAGAAATTAAGCCGGGTTTTGATTGATCACCTCAATACTGACACATAATTTTCTATAGAAATTAACCACGAATAAATAATTGTATTTGGTAATGTCAGATAGAAGGTCAGCCTTTTCTCCCCCCCCAAGGATATTCAAGTATGCTCTCATATGCACCTAAGGGAATAATTAGGTCCTTGAAGTGTTTTACTGGTGGTCAAACTTCCTGTTCGCTTGATTGAGACATACATACATCTTTTTCTACGTCTCTCGAGAGTCCAAATGGAACTGAATATGTAGGACTAGGTGCCGCAATTCCCGTTTCTTCTCGTGACTTGGGTGATCGATGGATGGACTGTAGTCACTAGTATTTTTGCATGAAGAAGGACTTACCGAAATGAACTATGCCTAAAGAGCAGAAACTTTCATTTACCTTCATGAAACTCGAATGACCATCGGAAGACAGTTGGCTTTCCAGAATAACGAATTGAACGTCTATTGACGATGAAGAGATCTCTTCGCCAGAAGCTTTCCATGCCAGACTTTTGTCTTTGACATTTGAGAGCTACCTACCCACTCATGATGTATCTGCAAGCAAGGTGTAGAGTATTCAAACTCCTCTCCTCTCCTTGATTAGGGAAAGGAAGGAGTTCTCTCCTCCGTAGTGAGGAGAGAAAAAAAGAAAATCGGCAGGATTTGGTAGGTATCAAGCTGATCATGAGAAGTTGCAGAGGAGGGCAGGGAAGACAGAAGGTAAATTAGAAATTCCCGTGATAGTATCAAATTGACATCAGATCGTACTGTTTTGCACTAAAAGTCAATCACATAATCGATTTGCTTCTTCTTCCACCAAGGAAAGATGATGAGGAATGAATAATTGACATAATTTAGTAGTTTCTTGCAGGGCCCAGGAGAGAAGGGGGAAATAGTAGGGGATAAGGTTTCAATGATAGCAAGCAGCATAGAGTAAGATCTCTGAACAAGTCGTAACATGTATGAAATCAAATACATCATATTTGTGCTTTATGCCAACTTGGTTATTGCTAGTGCAGAAAGCAATGATCAAATTCATGCCATGTTCAATCGCTATGGTACCTGTCTGTTATCAAGATGTCCTCCAACCAAATAATCGAGAGTTGTGTTTATGGCGATGTGGTAAATGTGCGTCCAGCTGCCACTCAGTGCATCTTGCCGATGATCTTGAACAGAATCCATTCAATGCTATATGCTAGATCGATAAGGTCGCCGTGGGTTCTTGTATAGTGAAGGATCGGGGGAGGCTGATCATCACTTGATCAAAGCTACATGCCCTCAACGATTTGTTGCAAGTCGCAGGTTGAGGCTCATATACGAGATGAGATAAACCAGATCCTCTGAACGTTTTTGGACCTGTTGGGCCCTAACCTTGAAGCTATCATAACGCTTGCCAATGATATCGGAGGATGGAAATCCTATGTGCATATAGCCGCGCTATGTGGACCCATGCGGGTTTTTGAATATTGCCAGCTCCACCACACCCGCTCAACCAAACCTGATACCCTCAAATCCCCACTATCTTTTGCATACAACTTATATGCATTTGAACAGGTGAAAGAATATGAAATAGGCACTTTGGCGGAGTGGTTAACGCGATGCCCTGCTACTGTAAGAACAGAGTCAGGCATTTCCTTCGGGAGCGAGTGTTCGAATCACTCAGGTGTCGGAGCAGAAACTTAAGTTTTGCACTTTTGATCTATGATTTTCATCCTGGTTGGTTTTCTCTTCTTGGTTCTCATTCTTACAGAAATGAAAGCAATCAATCTTGTGGCCCGTACGGAGTAGAGAGAGATCTGCAAGTGCACGACTTTAAGATTAGAACTGAGCCTTCTTCATTTATTAATCAATCATCTGGATTATCTATACCTTTCATGGACACCATTAAATGACATCAATTCTGGGTTCTGCGCTGTTCAGCCAAGGACTTGAACTACTCTTGATCTGTAGGATCTGACTGTGTTAGAAGAGGAGCGCGTGGAGCATCAAATTGAAGTATGAATTTGTAGAATGAATCCCATTCTTTGACATAAAAGTCGACGCCTAATGTGGAATCAAAATACTTAAGATAGCTTAATTGAGGCGGTGAAGAATGGAGCTTTATTTAGTAATACATTATATAATCATGTTTCATTGGTTCACTCGCACCTTTTACGATATCAGCCTTGTGGCTTAGGCGAGGCTACTGCCGAGGGCCAAGCAAAGAGGATTTACGAGTTAACTTAATCTCACAGTGTCAAGGGGTTTCTTGATTTAAAATATCTCAGGCAAGGAAAGAATGCCTACAGATTGGTGGAATTCTATATGCAGTATCTCATGGACCCTCCACATCACATAAGGCTGAGTATCAAGAAAGGGGAGCATGTAAGATTGTCATGTAATGGGCAGTGCTACATATGTATATATTGACATAGGTAGGGACTTAGCTTTCCATTCCAAGCCTTTTCTACTTCCGTGTAAGAGGTTGCATCGTATCTACTTGCTTATTCATTCCCGCCATCATTGACAATTCGATTGGATCCCCCGGAGATTTTTCGAAAGTTTGGAAGAGACAATGCCTATTGAAACCCCCAATCAAATTATACCCCGATCTAGGAGATGTGGACCCAAAGTGAAGACAGGCTGCCAAACTTGCAAGTATGAATTTGGAATGTTGTTCCGGTCAAGGAATGATCCTCATTGACATAATCCAGGATACGTCGAGTCAAGTGCGATGAAGCCAAGCCTTCATGTGAAAGATGTATTTCCACTGGACGAAAATGTGATGGGTATTCCACAGACCTGAAGAGGTTGAGCCCGGAACTACAAACATTGTCAGACATTCAACGAGTCCCTACATTTTTACCTGGTACTGTAAATGAACGGCGAGGTTTTCAATACTTTGTTTCCAATACAGCAACAGAGCTCAGTGGATATTTTGATCCCTCTTTCTGGAATCATCTCATATTGCAAGCAGGCTCTGTGGACCCATCTCTTCGGCATGCTATCATAGGACTTGGGACCCTCCACGAAGATTTCTCGAACCGAAGATTGGATCTTGCGACAAAATGCGATGCTGCAAGATCAGGATTTGGGTTCGCTACAAGTCAATATACAAAGGCCATTTCACACCTTAGACGGTCTTTAGCGGCAGGCAAACAGAAACCTCTCACAGCTTTAATGTCTTGTATTCTTTTCGTTTGCTTTGATTCTCTACGGGGTCATTTTTCAAGCGCAGTGATGCATTTGCAGAGCGGCCTAAAGATATTGCAGAATTCGCGATTACGAAACAATTCTCAAGACGAGGATCTGATAGAAGAAAACATTGTACCTATGTTCATGAGACTTTGCATACAAGCTATTCTGTACATCGATACCAGAGAAGTTCCAGAACGCATGGCTTTCGCAAAAGTAATATCAACTATCAGTACTCGAGAAAATATCATACCGAGAGAATTCAAAAACCTGGATGCAGCAAGAAGAAGTCTCCTTCACGCATCCGATAGCCTTTTCCGGGGGGGTTACTTATGGGATGGTAACCTTCCTTCCGCCTGTCAACCAAAATCAGCGATGGATTTATATGTAAAATCTCGTACGCAATTGGACGCTTGGAGAGTCTCGTTTGAGAACTTCATAAAAAGCCAGAGTCATACTTTTGACAGTAAACAATTGAGAGGCGCTGCACTGTGCAAAGTACATTATGCAACTGTGCATATTATGGCTAGGGTTACCGAACTAGACCTAAACGATCCTCGAATCATCAAGGACTCCGTTAATGATCCCAAAAAGTTCGCCGTGTTCGATTCGGAATTCCAAGTCATCGTCAGTCTTGCGAGATCTTTGATTAATGCTGCTGAGGAAGATGCTAAAGCTGGGAGACCTGCATTCACATTCTCAGCCGATTTGGGTTTGATTGCTCCTTTATATTGTAAGTCGTTTAGTCTACAATGTTATAACTTAATACTGATTCCATCCTGATTAGTCACTTGCGTAAAGTCGCCCAATGAAACAACTCGTCATAAAGCATTAGAACTTCTACTGCGGTGTCCAAGAAAGGAGGGGATGTGGGACAGCTCATCAACGATCAATCTCGTACGAGGTTTCTGGAACCTCGAACAGAAACTGATTTATCGACCTAGAGAAGTATACCCGGTTTCAGAAAAACTCATGCAAATGAGTGAGGTGGTAAACCTTGTCCTGAACGAGAATATGCAATGGGAATGGAAACTCTCTGAAACTCAGAGAATAGAAACCTCCTCGATGCACTCGTGGAAATGATTTCTCGAATCTGGAGGAGTTCAGTTGGCTACCAAATGAAATGGAAGATATAAAATTCTTTGAAATGGCCGGCGGAAGTCCCATTCTGGGGGGTTCTTGGCCCTAACTACATCCGAAAATACGATGAGAGTCTACAAGAGACGCAATTCTTATATTATAGAAATAGAAGACGCCTTATAGATTTGTTTTCCGTTTAGATATCCAGGTTTATGGCCAAGAAGTTTTTGTGCAGCGATTTATTTTGTATATATACAAAACTCTTCTCTGCTTCCAGAATTCATTTTCCCATTTCATACTGAGGGTGGTATTCCCTTGTTTTGGTTCTTTTGGGCAGCATTTTGATATTTACCTACTGTCGATTTCCATTTCTTATGCCATACACTGCAGATGCTTTTATTTACTAGTCGTGAATCAGTGTCCCAATTATTATGATTCTCTCTATTCTTTCGTACCCACAGAAATTGATGTTAGTCCAAAGATTAGCTTTTCCCACTTACCGTGTCTCGAGCGTGTCTAGCTTCACTCTAACGACTAGCTTGCGCAGCCATCTTTTCCTTCAACCTTTTAAATCCCCAGATTCCCTACAGATCATGGGATTCTCATCTGTACTTTTTTTTATGACAATTAAGAATTATTTTCTGATACTCCTCATTTCTAACGTGTATCCACAATTATTGATCATATATCTTCTCAATTCAGGTCAATGTATAAAAATATAATGTACGTTACGCCTACGACAACTCGATTCTCAATTCCATGACGAAAACCTCTAAAGATTAGTTGCGACAAGATCATATTGATTACCGTTCTTAGTTATAATTCTCCAGGGATATACGCCATCTATTTAGAGGAAGCTTATTCTAATTGTCCCATTTCATATATTATAATAAAACACAATCAAAAGACTTTAATTACGTCCCATCCCCCTATTACAAACAATCGGATATGAAGGTCACTCACAATAAGCACCTAGGCGAGCAAGAGCTCAGGGAAACCGTGGAAGCGAAGCAAATGCGAACAAAGAGATATGGAGCACAATTACAAGCACTGCAAGATTCACGGTGATATCTATGATAACATCAACGATGAAGAGGAAATTCGTCGCGAGGTTTTGAATGTGAAGGCCTCTTCTCAGTTACACGAGTTCACTAAATTCCACAAGTTACCTCCAGAGATCAGAGAAGCTATATGGAAGCTTGCAATAAACGCCACACTCACCGAAGTCCACGAAGATAGCCGTCACTTGACTCAATATATATATCCACAGGAGGAAGTTGTCTGGAGCTGCAAGTTGATGTTGAGGCATGCTCATACCAGCTCCGAAGCTCGATGGATTGTCGCAAGGAAAATGTTTCGCTTTGGCGGCGATGAATACAAACACCTTACTGAAAAACGATGGATCGGTGTATACTTCCGGTGGTGAACGAGATAACACTCCGTAAAGTGGATGATGTGATTACATGCTCAACATTACATAATCCTGCGGAAATGTGTAATGGGGTGTACATAGGGGTTTTAAGTGATGAGCGTAAAGAGGCACATGCAAAGCACTTGCAAAAGCTCCTTGAAGCTTAATCGTGCTATATGACTACGCCCGAGACTCTCCCACACCACAACTGGACGTTTCTTTTTGGTTAAGCGACTAGCTTCCGCCTTTCCAATGTTCGAAACGCCGCGTCATTTTGTCAATCGTCACTCTTATCCACGACCTGGTTGCCATCCTTATTACCAACAATTCGAGATACTAGCCACAGTGCACATACGAGATTCTATATCCATTGGAAGCCGGTAGATCTTTAAATACAGCTTATCATTCATTATAAATGGATGGAAACCGTGTTTGGGCACACAATCTCATAGAGGTTGATGAAGCGGAGTCCAGATTTGTTTTGAAGTCGCGGATAAGATTCTCTACTCTAGCTCTTCCTCATCCTCTACCTCAAGCCAGGCACCTCAACCATCAGCATCCATCAACACCAAATTCTCCTTCGCACTTAACCCAACCGTTCGAAACAACCCCCAACTCTAGCACAATCCTCGCGATCTTCACACCATCCTCCACCCCCTTTCGAAACCAGAGCCTGCGGAACCATCCACCCTATCCAAAAGAATCCTCCGCCTTGGAATCTACGAACGATAAAACAGGATCTACCTACCCAGCAGATACCATACCACTCTTTCCACTATACCACATCGCATCGCATAGCATTACTAATACCAATACCGATATCGTATCTACTAAGTATTCATTCCCGTTATCGAGATAGACCTCGACGTGCACAAAACATTTTAATTTATAAGCGATCTCGATGTTATGTATTTAATTTATTTGACTATCATCTCGTTGATAGAAATCGTAGTTTATATTCTTTAATCTTTAATTTATAATTTATAATCAAATCACACTATTCAGCTGCCCAAATATTCCTTTTCGTTCTTCCTGAATCATCTCATATAGTATTGATACACCACAACATGCCCAGTAATCCTCCTCATATCTCTTCACGAAAATGAATATGCGTAAAACACCGACACAAACCCAAACCACGCACTACTAACCTCTCACCCATACAGAAAACAAACGTAGAGCGAAAAATAGAAAATATATTGAATTCTTACAATTACACTATCTGTATGTAAAGCCTCAAAAATCACCCTCTCCTCCAAAAAGTGTACTCCATGGAGTATACGCACATATCAAACAATGTATCTTACGAAGAAAGGAAACAAAAGCCCGCAAGAAACATACTCCCCCAATCCATTCCTCCATGCATGCGTGTTTCCGTCCACTACCAAAGTAACGACAAAGTTGAAGTCCAGCAAATTAAAAAATACAAGCACCAAGCAATTCACTCACCCCAAGCGAGTCACCCCTTAGAAAGCAGCAGATAATACACGACTATTCCCATACTCGTCTACCCCCTCGTAGCCTCCAACGCCGCCGTCAACGGCACGACCCTCAAACTTCTCACTCTCTTCAAATCAGTTCCCCCTTGTTTTACGCTCGGCTGTACAGTAATAGTTGGGGCGCTTCCCTCGCTCCACTTCCTAAACACACTTTTCAAATCCTTCGGGATCCCTTCAATGACCACTGTTGAAACAGGTACAAAAGGGCGATCTTCCATGCCCGCTGAAAGAATCCCATATTTCTGTACGAATTGAAGTGCGGTGTGGAAGGGGCCATATTGGGACTGGGCTTTGGCCCCGATGACAATGTAGATTTCGAAAAAGGCATCAAGAATGTAAATACCAGTTGAAGAGAGGTCGGCTTGGGAGAAGGGGTTTATTTCGATGATCTAGGATATGTCAGTAGGAGGTTATGCATGGAAGAAACCGAGACATACTTGTTCTTTCCTGTATCGGTAGCACAGAACAAACGAGCGGAATATTTGTTATAGGCTGGCTTAAGTTTCCAGTGATCAGCTGATTGTGGAATCTGTTTGCAATTCTCGAACACTCTCAAGAATGACGAAGGTTCATCGCCATCCTCAATTTCTTCGATATCACCAGTCATTGATATTTCCATTCCGAGGAGTCTAGCACAGCCATGCTCTTCAGCGGTACTACCTCGACCCTTCCATAGATATGTCTTGCCTGATGGTGAGGATATAAGATATGGAAACCCGGAGCATAAGACTGAAGGAGAGTAATCAACCTCGTCAAATACCAACATTCCATACTGTTGTCTTGCGCAGAGAATATGAGGAGCGAGAGAATCATACTGTTTAGAAGATCCTCTCCTGATAATGATGATACCACCTAAAGCTTGGTAAAACTCTGGAGTTTCTTTGCCTTGTCTCAATGTTACAAACTTTCCACCAAAACCTTTGGCTTCTCTCTGAGCAAATATCTCGGCGCCGGTAACAACATGTTCAGGAACTTCATCCCCAATCCACCAGTAAACTTCAGTCACTTTTCTACCAGTCGCATTGGTAAATGTATGGGGGCATAAGTACATCTCACGCTCAAAAAGAACACGCTCTTGATGAGTAGGAACAGACTGCCTCTTTCCATCCCCAAATAAATAAAATAGACTGGACTGCAATGTCCGTATCGTTGAGATAGTATCTTGTCGGGCCATTAAAATGCTTGCTGTATCGACTGAGTAAGTTGGGGTTGGTTTGGGTTCCTCACCGAAAAAATCAGCGAGAAGTTGGGACGCTTCAGATGCCTGAGGTACTGGGGAGTAAGCCATGCTGGGCGAGCGAAGACCTGGGCTCATTACTGGTGACGTTAGTGTTTTTGTTGGAGGGATGGGAAGAGCGCGCGCAGGTGTCGACTCTTTTGTAGATTTTGGTCCCATTCGTAGTCCTAGATCAATAGACTTATTCGCTTCAACGGACTAATAGGGCGGTAAACCTACACCTGCTAGTTTTATCTTATCGTCTTCATGAGACTTGTTCCGTTTCAATGGACTTGTAGGTCGCAAACCTGCGCCTACTAAAGCGGCCTTCTCATCTTCGTAGGTTGGTAATTGTATTGGAGAAGGTATACGAGCAGGTGGTTCTGCAGTGGATCGACCCCACAATGCTGCAGTATGCTTGACTGATCTCGATGGACTGAGTGGTGGTGGCTGATCAAAATGAGGTGAGAATTGCGGTGGAGATTTTAACGAATTTGCTTTTCTTGGGGATAACGGAGCAGGACGAAGCTTTGCAGTCTCTGGCGACACAGGTTCATTGAATGTACGATCTTCATAAACTTTCGTTGGTGATGGAGATTTGGCAGGCGCTAGGGGCTCTGGCTTTGGTGGATCTGGCGAAACTATTGCCTCGAGCTTGTTGTGGTTTGCCTTTACCGTGTTCTCGGGGAAATTAGCAATTTTGACGGAAGAAAGTGGTTTAGGGGCTTCCAACGATGGTGTATCCTTATTCTTTGGTGCTTCTTGTAGAAAAAGAGATCGTCTTCTCATATCCAGCTTCCGTGGTGATGAAGGCTGAGAAACTGGAGTGGTTTCTGGCACCTGTTCTGTGTTCAAGGCTGAAATTGTCTGCTTTATTGGGCTTGTAGCAGGCGATGAAAGTTGCTCAGACGCAGCGAAAGACTTGGTAGGGGATGTAGCGGGAACATTTTCTTCGGCTCTTTCTTCGGGTTCTGGCGCTGATATAGTTTGGGTTGGTGCGGCTGTAGATGGCGCCTTTCGTCTTGGTCCACGGGCACGCCCCTTAGTCATATGTGTGAGTTGTGGTCCATTCTCGCTCGATTCGGGATTAGTTGTTGAAGTGCTCATACTGATTGTACGCTGAGATAACGAGGCACTTGAAGATCTTGAGGTTTCACTAGCAAGTGAAGGAGGGCCCCTGGCAAGTAAATCTGCGAGACCAGGATTAAAACGTCCAGCAAGCTTACCTCCAATTGCATTCTTTTCTTGCATGCGTTCTGGGGCACTGGTTTCCTTGACTAAGTTTGGAGCGGGATTGGCAGAAGCATTCCGCTGTGGTGAACTAGATTCCCAGGTCGATGCAATATTAGAAACGGAACCGTTTCTTCCAAGGGTGTTTCTTCTCCGCAACGCTTCAGGTACCACATTCTCCCGGCTTTCGCTACTGGCAGATCTCGAAACTCCATTTCCCTCAGCTTGTACTTTCTTGAAATCCTCTTTCTTTTTCAATATCGCATCTTTGAATTCATCTTTGCGTTCAGTCTTTACGGGACCTCCAGTAAGGTTGAGACCTGCCTTTCCACGTGTGATATTGTCCTTGAGCATATCCGGAGCAATGTAACTTTGAGTCTTCGTCCTCCGTAGTTGACCAAAGACATTCTTAAATTCTGGCTCTTCTTTGGGCTTTTCATCAGCAGATACCTGGCGTGATTTCAAAACAGAGCGGAAATCATTCTTCGGAGGAGTTGTGGGCTTGGCCTTCACTGAACTAGCAGGTGAATTCAAACTGGCTTTGGGTGTTCCAGACGGGGTGGATGTAAAATTTGGATTGAATTTTTGTATGGTGTCAGAAATAGGAGTGGAAGTGGAGGGTGTCGATGGCCTTTCAGATTTTGTATTCCCAGCGGCGCTCTTACTATCCTGATTAATCATGCTCTCGATGTTTCGCTGTGGTGTAATGCCAGGAGAAAACGCTGTTGGGAAGCCTCGAATGCTTGAAGGCGTTGTCAATGCGCCAGGAGGAGGGGATCTCATTAGCCCACCAATGTTTACTTCGTGCTTCACGGTCTGGCTTCTACCCAAGTCGACACTGCCTTTCTGTTTTGCTCTGTTGATTTCTGACATCCACGATGGTTGTTGAGGCGGCGGTGTGGCTTTAGGTTTCGGTGATTCAGGTTTGTTTAACGCGCTCTCGAGCCAACTAGATTTGGTAGGACTCCATCGTCTTGAGTCTGCAGTTTTCGTAGGGCTGACAGGCAAACTATCATCTGCTGGAGGCGATTGATTCCCACTATCTACCTCTTTAGCTTCGGCCGGGGTGTAAGATCTAGCTGTTGCCAAAGATGGTCTCATGAAGTTGGAATTATCATTCATCGTAGAATTTGTTACATTGCTTTTCATAGAGCTTGCTGTGCCCGGGCGGTGGAGTTCACCATGACTTGAGGTAGGTCTTGATGCAGGCCTTGAGGGAGAA